AAAAAAGTAAATTGTTTTGTTAGGGGTCCAGGTTAGAAGTCATTGTATAATTTGTAGGCTTTGTGAGGGCTGAATGCAAGCGTGGAAATTTAGGCTGAACTCTCTATCAAAAGGGGAAAAAAAATCGGGAGGGGGGGCAACGGGGAAGGATCTCCTCATACATTATTTATTTCGACCTTTAGGGGACGAGGAACTCCCCCCTTCTTTCAGGAGATTAAAAATAAATCAACAGACTGAAAACCTCAACAGACACGGAACATTACAGCGATCAGCCACACACGTGTTCACATTTATTTATTATAAAGACAGATTTCATGGAAAATATGTATTTTTTTGTATAATTTACAGAGTTTATTCTAGTATGTATTTACAGCTGAAGAGCAAAGGGATTGTCCTTGTGATAAAATATAAATAAAAAGCTCTAATTTTCGTAACTTTGGGGTTGCCGCTTGTTTCTGCTTTCCGTGCCAGCGATTGGGAATTACGGGATTGGGCCTGTCCTTGTCTCTTGTGGAACCAAGGTTTGGTGGGGCCTGGTGTCACTGGCTCCATGAACAACTGTTTCTTTGGGAAACAGCATCAGAGAGAGAGAGATTGAGAGAGAGAGAGAGGGAAGTTGAGTGGAAGTTTACTGATCATTTACCTTTGGCTCTCAGTACAGAAGATGCTGACAGCAAATGCAGGATGGATGGATGATGGATGGATGGATGGATGGATGGATGGATGATGGATGGATGGATGGATGATGGATGGATGGATGGATGATGGATGGATGATGGATGGATGGATGGATGATGGATGGATGATGGATGGATGGATGATGGATGGAGGATGGATGGATGGATGGATGGATGGATGGATGGATGGATGGATGGATGGATAAAGAGTTATCACACTTCAGGCCTATAGATTTCACCTGGAAGGCCATAGGAAAGAAATGTTATTGAGGAAAAATAGGGTTCCAAGAGGAAGAATTTCCTCTCTCTGAGGGTCAGATGAATTCCAGGCAATTCCAGGGGATTGGGTGCAATGTGTGCAGTGCACAGCCATGGATGTCACCATGGAGGGGGATGCTGGAGGCTGCCCAGGCCCTTCAATCACAGTCCCCGTGCTCCCAGGAGCACTTTGTGACTTCTGGGTGCAAACACTTGGAAATCATTAAAAACCAGCAGAGGGGCCTGAATGTATTAATTAAATAAAATGCTCAGCACGCGAATCCCGCCCGGTGCCCTCCGGATCCTGGGAGCGTGAAACCCGGCCCTCGGAGCGATGTCCGCCAAAGGAAAGCTGGGAGAGGGGAGGGGAGGGAAAAGAGGGAAAAGAAAAAAAGCCCAAAATGTGTGAAAAGAGAATTAGTGAAATTAGGTTAGGCCAATAAACCGCGCGGGGGTCCCTCGGCCCCGCAGCCTCGGGCGAGCAGCGCTATCTAGCCTGATCTATTGTTTCCCCCCCTGGCAGGGGGGTTATTGTGTGATAAATAATTCCCTAAAAAAAAAAAAAAAAAAAAAAAAAAAAGTGGGAGCATTTGCATAATCACTGCTTTGATGTGGCCAGCGAGATGAAGCTGTGTTCCCCCAAATCTGCCACGGGCCAAGAGGAACAAAACAAGAGGGAGCCTTTGACGGCGCTGGCGGTGTGTGGGGCAGCCCGTCGGGAGAGCGGGTTTTTCACTCTCACTCGCCCCTTTTAATGGCTAAACTCCAGGAATGCCAAAAAAGAAGCCTCTCCATCTTTTCTGGTCGGGCCTCATTGTCCTTCCTGGTTTCTCTCCCTCTAGTAAGAGGCGCTGGAGTAGGTGCCTTCGGCTCTCGGAAAGGCCGGGACGGATGGGATGCGCTTCTCTCTCGGTGCTGGAGCCACGCGGGAATAGGAGGGACATCCCGGGTGGCTCAGCACCAGGAAGGACGCTGCTCCTTGCCAGCTGCATCATCCTGGAGGGATTTCTCTCCGTGTCCGGGTACAGCCCCCGTTGGCAGGAGCGTTATGATCCTGCTGGGGCTGTGGCGAGGGGAACCACCGTGGGAAAAAGCGCACGACGCGTCAGAGGATGGAGGGGGGGGTTGGAGAGAGGTTTGGGGTGGGAGCAACGCCAGCCAAACCTTCCCTGTTCCCTGGGCTGGAGGCTGGCTTGGGTTGGAGATGCCCCCGGAGGAAATGGGCCCGAGGGGGTGGCAGGACCATGCTGGCACAAGCTGAGTTGGAGCAGTTGGATTTGTCACCTCACCCAGCCACTCTCATCCTGATTTCTCATCCGAATGTGGCCAAAAGTGTTTGCTTCCTTTTCTCGCCCCTTAACTTGAGTTTATTCCTCCCCTTCGTTTCCTTTTTTCATGTATTTCCTTTTTTTCCTGTCAGAAGACTGAGTTTTGGAGGTGACAGGGAGTCCCCAAAGCCAACTGCAGCCAACCTGGCAGCGGAGCAGGAGACGCAGGATGGGCAAACACCTCCTAGGACGATGTGAGGAACCTGGGGGTGGTTTCCATGGCAGCCCCTTGCCCCAGAACATGTGTTTATGATCCTTCTGTGTATTGTATTTTGGCATAAAAGCTCCTCTGCGCCGGCAGGGCTGGAGGGGCAGCTTGAAGGCCCCCAGGGGGGGTTTACAGCCCTCCTTGGCATAAGAATGGCCACGAGGAGCCAAACCAGCACCCCAAGGGCTGCCGCACGCCGCCTTTCATGGGCAGGCATAAATCTGTCCACGAACCCTAAAGAGCCCTCCCGACACGGCTCTCAGCTGGCTGGCGCGTTTTAAACCCAGCTTTCCTAAAGCCTCACTCAGGTGCCTCAGGTTGGGCTTCCCCCTGCTCCTGTATTATGTATGGATTTAGCCCACGTAGCGTCAATTCCCATTCCCCACGGGCAAAAAGGATCTCAATTATCTACTGCACTGTCAATCCCCTGGCACAGACAGAAATCCCAGAGGGATCTTTGCCATAGCCTGATGTAGGTTGTTGTCTTACTACAAGGGAGAAAAAAATCAATAAATCTTGTCTTTTAAATCTGAGACACTTTTGCTCTGACAAGCTGACAATGTAAGGATATACAGATATAAGATATCCTGCCCTTCTACCTACGATTCTGCAACAGCTGTGCAGGTCCAGCAAAATTCTGGCAGCCTGCTCATCCCCCTGACCTCTCGTACCCAATTCAGATTAAGGAGAGGCAGAACTCCTGCCAGATTTAAAATCAAGCCTCTAAAAACTGACTGGAGGAAAAAAAAAAAAAAAAAAAAAAAAAATAATATAAAGAAGTCCTTGGAGGGTCACTTTGCAGCGGCTGGGAGGGAACAGGGATGGTGCTGGGGCGGCTGTGACACACAGCCATCCCCTCTCCCCGGCCTCCCCTCCTCCTCCTTTTATTAAAAAGCAGAGAGACCGGCCCAAAGCTGACGGCATATTTACCTTCATGAGTTTTAAAAAAAAAGTTAATTACCGCTCGGAGCAAGTTGGTCGGGCTGTCCTGAGCTGTCTTTTATTAGTAGTCGCCTTCATTAATTTCCCTCGCTGGATTTGCTGCTAATAGCTGCCTGGTCCCGGGCAGCACAAAGCAGCATCTGTGCCATTGAGCAGAAAAGCGGGAGTCAGGCAAAGGGGGGCACTGGAGAGAGGGGGGTGACGCCGTTTGCAAATCAACCTCTATTAACGTGATGTCCCGCTCGGAGGTAGCCGGCACGACAGTTTGGGCTGTGCTGGGCTGTCAGCGAGGGAGGAAAGGCACCTGCTGCCCGCCGGGGGGATGCTGGCCTCATCCTGCTCCCCCGGGCGCTGGCTGTGCCGCCCGGGGATGCCCCGGGATGCCGGAGCTGCCTCCGTGGCCCTGCGCACCCAGCTCGGTGCTGCCCGGTCCTGCGTTAAACAAACTCGGGATCTTTCCGGGGGAGACGGGCTCCGCCTTAAAGGCAGTTTGGCAGAGAAATTCGGGATTAGGGAATGGGATTAAGCTCTGTTTGGAGGGAGCAGCGGGCAGGCCCGCTCCGGGGGAGGGGGGCAACAGCCCCATCTGCTCCCGCTCAGCCAAGGGGAGAGGGGAGATGATTTCATCCCAGCGGAAGAAAGGAGGGTGGCGGGTGTCACTCCCGGGAGAGGGGTGAGAGCAGCACGCTGCCGCCAGCTTCCTCGCAGAGCTGGGGCAGTGCCGGAGCTCCCCAGAGGCGGCAGGTGACGGCAGCAGCTGCCAACACCTTGCCGCAAATATCCCGCTTCTGCCTGGTGGGAAGGAGGCGCCGAGGAAGCGGCTGCCGTGTCCTCCCGAGCAGAAGGGATTGGGCAGCACGGGCTGCGGCTCTGCGCTCGCTGAGCCGAGCCTTTCCCCCCGTCCCCCATGAACAGCTGAGTCTGGGGAAGGAGCTGTGCCTAGATCCAGCAGCTGGGCTCCGGGGGCAGCTGATGCCGGGTTTATGGCAGCGAGGCCGTGCTGCCTCACAGCTGGAGGGGTCAGCCCCTGCCCGCTCGCTGCCAGCCGGAACGGGCCGGGATGCTGCGGCTGCTCCCGGAGGGAGAGCGAGGGGGGCAAGCTTGGCTCGGCCCTGGATTGTTGGGATGACTCAGGGGCTCCCTTTCCACTGCATCTTTTCTGTGAGAAATTCCCTGAAGTGCTCCACAGGGTCATTAGTTACCGGCAAACGAGTGAAAAAAAAATCCTTCTACCTGTTAGCAGGCTTTGGCTGCATCCGCTTGCTCCCTGGATGCCAGATTTACTAACTGGGATGCACAAGCACGACACACAGCCAGCAAGGCTCTGCCTTTCACCTGGATACCTGCAGAAAGGGAAGGAGGAAAAATCTCTTTAGGCAAGTACCCTTCCTGAAGGACGGGGAAGTGCGTCACAGCTGTCACGAGCAGCTGGTTTTGTGCCTGATTTACAGCAGCACTTAGGGTGTAAACTCAAGTCCTGGAGTTAAGGGAAGAGGGGAAAATGTTTGATGTTTCCTCAGGTGCGTTGTCCCTACAGTTCATATTTGACTGTCCCAGCACAACAGAGTTACACTGGTTTTGTAGAGACTGGCCCTCAGTGGTTATACCGAGTGCTTAGGTTGGAATTTTGGAGAGAGTTACAATTAATCAAGCCCAAAAAGCATCTTGGCAGCAAGTTACTTAATACAGACCACTGCATCTGCAATAAAAAAATTCCAATTCCCAATTAAAAAAGGAAAAAGTATTCCCGGTGTCTCAGTTAGTTCAAGTTACTTTATTCTGAAACCAGAGGAAATAACGGCAATTTTTTTTTTTTTTTTTTTTCAGTAGCTCTAAGACGAAATTTACAGCCAAAATATTAAATTCACCACCCTCAGAGACACCTGTTTATTCCCTCAATAATCCCCTATTCGTACCACAAATATGAACCAATCATTTAAACTCTCTGTGTTTGGGGCCACGTGTGCCTCCCAGTTCTTCAGGCGACGAGGTGGTAAATCCGTGATTTCCGGTATCCAAGCCCCGGATGGAGGCAGAGCTCCTGATCCATCTGAAATTGTGCCCAATCCTGGAAAGAGTAAAACCAGTAGAATATGATTCCATGTCTGTTTTAACAGGGAACTGGACAAGCTGATCCTCCACCCTAATTTTTACCTGTGAGCAGCCGTAACTTCGGCTGAGGTGGCAAAATGTCTCTTAAAACCAACAGAAGAAATAAGCCGCTAGGTGGAAATATTAGGAAGAAAACAAAATATCAACATTTCACAGGGATGGATTTATTCAGAAGCACGTCTAAATAAATTTCCTTCTTCTTTCCTTGAGCACGAAAGAGCTGGAAAAAGCATGTCTGGTCAGGGCTCCCCAAACCGCGTGTGCTGCCGGCAGCGCGTTAGGACACTTTGTCGCGCAGAGATTGTCCGAGAGGTTTTGTTTTGCTTTTAATTGTCTCTATAGAGCGGGGAAAGCTTCTGCAGAGGGGCTTTAACACAGCATCTCTGCCGCCCATTAATTCCCGGGATCTTGCTAACTAGCTTTGTTTGCTCTCCGGACGGAGCCCTGGCGCTCGCTGGCCGGAGCACGGAGCTATGCGAGCGCGACGTTTGTCCCTTAGTCAAAGCCAGCATTTCCCCACTGCCGAGGACAAGGCCGGCCTTTATTGGCTGCACAACAAGATAACGGGGCTTAATCTTCCCAGTAACACGTGAGTTTTCATGTATCACTTTAATCTGCGAGACACTGGGGCCGAGCGTCCCGTCACATGCCGATTTCACTCTTGTGTGAGCCGGCGACTGCCCAGCTCAATGATGGATTGTTTGCTGGCTCTGAACAACAGGCAAGATGGTGAATGCCCCGGGGTGACAGACAGTGTGCAATGGGAACGGCAGCAAATCTGATGGCCCGGTTCAAGTTCACCTGACAAAGCTGGAGCAGTCTGCGAGCAGAGCTCGGGAAAGGATTATTCACACTGGCATTATATTTTTGAATGCATTTTTCTCCCCGCGCAGCTGCGCAGCTCCCCAAGACTGAAGGTTTATGCACCATAATAAAGAGATTTAATTTCTTTTTTTTTTTTTTTTCTTCCTTCTCCCTCTTTACACCTAGTTCTAATCAGTTGGCCCAGGGATAGGGCATCTTTCCAAACAACTCGGCACAAACATCACCTAGAAAACAATAGCATTGCTAAAGCGCGGGGACAAAAGCCTAAAAACCTCGGCTGGCTGCAGAAACAAAAGGGGATGGTTTTGTTAAAGCAAAGTCTGTCGGGGACCCATCTCTTTTTGTGGAACTTTGATGGCTGTGCTCCCTCTCTCACGGAGAAAATCTCCCCAAAGAAATGATCCCAACGCTCGGGGGCAGCGGGACATCGGGGCTTTGAGGGGGAAGAGGAGAATGGGAAATGAAGGCAGCTTTTCGCTGCCTTGCTGGACGATCTGCTCCCAAGGATGTGTAGGGTGAAACAGTGTCCAGCTGATGTTGTCATTCTGTGGACTGACCTGTGCCAGTCTAGGCCAGCAGCTCCAGCGAGGGCCTCGTCAGGGACAGGCAGCTGCAGATCTCGTTGCACTCCACGTGTTGATCGTTAAAGAAGTAGTGAATTCCTTTCTTCCCAAAGTTGGAGCGTGAGACGTCTTTGCTGTTGAGGGAATGAATCTGGGGGTCTGTGAGGTAGATGAGGCCTTTCCCGTTACCTGTCACCCAACCTGTGGAAGAAATGGTACATCTTGATATCAAACACCACAGCCTTTGTGTTACCCCCCCTCAGGACTCTCTGCCTGGCACAGCCCTTGCCCTGTTCGTGTCACCTCAGTGGCTCCCAGTTTCCACCTGTGGCAGCAAAAGCAGAACCCTACGAGACACATAATGAATTTAAATGAAATGAATACCCCAAAGATACCTGTGGGCTAGAAGCAGAGTGTGAAAGGCATGAACGTCACTGTCATACACACCTTGAAGGTCGACAACAACGTCAGTTCCCTTGGAGAACTCGTAGGAGAAGTGGCCGTAAGCCAGACCGTACTCCGTGGCTTTGTACTCATTCTTCACTACCTTGGTGTTGTTGGAGAGCTTCACAAACTCCCCGAGGATGTAGGGCTCCACACTCACACACCCCTTTATAGTTCTGTCTTCCAGGATCTGAAAGGAGACAGCCTCACTGCTGCTGTAATCGACCCAAGACGCCCGTCCCCATCAGGGCCTTGGAATTGCTTACGGGACAGTTCTTACCAGGAGCACTGCAGAGGGGATATAAAAGATTTGGGTAGGGACCTTCTGCTCATACAGCCTCTTGTTGAACTCTGTCACGTAGTACTGGGCGGTCATTTGGCGCTCCACGTCACTGAAATGATGGAGGAGTCCTTTTTCTTCTTTATATTCCTTCCCAACATACCTAAACAAAAGGAGGAGTGTCTGGAGCGGTGTTTGTTCCGGCTGCTGCGGAACAGAATCATCACTGCAAAGCACAACTTGTCAGAAGCAATTCCACCCGTGGGTGATGCATTTAAAATGGCTGTGATCAAAACTGGGTGGAGTTCTTTCCTATCTCACAGAGGTGAAAAATTATCAGTCAAACCCTGAGATGGGGGTTCTGTAACACTGGAATGTGTAAATTCAACTCTTCTTCACTCTGAAGGGAGACCTGGCTCAGGGGTATTAAAATACTATTCTCCACCCATAATAACTCAAAAGCTACTTCTAGCTTTTCCTCCTAGAAATTAAAAGGCAGAGTTACACAGAGTGATGGGAAAGATTGCCAAAAGGTCCTACACATTTGGGAAAGCCATAAAACGTTCTTGCTACAGCAAACCTTACCAGACAGGTTTTTTTAATCCATACTTACAAACAAGCAGCATTGATAAACACTTGGTTTCAGAAATCTGCTAGGTCCATACCTTCCCAGGCTTTCCTCTTGGTGCAGGAAGTGTATCCAAAAGGCACTTCTCTGCTTGCCTTCCTTGGCCACGTTCAGGTAGTCCCCGATGAACACGGCTGTCTCCTGGCCCGTCCACAGCCCGGATTTCTTGGAGTATTTCAGAAGAAGAGCAGCTACAAAAAAAAAAAAAAAAGAAAAGACCACAGGTAAAAGGGAGAAATCAGCAGGACTGCTCTGAGCCTGTGCTGAGGACTGGCTGTTATTTATGTTTAACTTAATGATCATTATCTTAAATAGCTTTTGGTGATGGCACGTGGAATCTAAACTCAAGGATTGGGGTAGAAAGCAATAAAAAAGTTAAATCCCAATAAATGCTGACTGAAATATTGTGCTAAAAAGCCTGAGTCACACTTATTCTCTGTGGAGGCACACGATGCTGTGTGGGAACTCACAGTACGCTTTGTGAAGCTCTTTGGCCCTGAAAATCCCAGTAGGCATCAGTCTCTGGACAAGCCAATCATGCTCCACCCCTGCCAGAAGCTGCTTGTAATCATCATCCCTCAGAAACCGAGCATCCAGAACCTTCTCCTTTGTTCTCCCAGGTGTGAAGGCAAAATCACTTCCCCTTGGGACTGAACCTTCAGGGGAGCTCGTGGGCAGCTGTGCTGACTTGATCCATGAGCTCAGAGAGGAACTGGATTGTCTCTTGCTGCTGGCCACATCCTGAGACTTCTCTTCGTCTTCTTCTGTAGTGGCACAGTCAAAGTGCTTTGTTGTGGATAACTTTCCCCGGGAGGCCAAAGCTGTTGGCACACCGGGATTTGCCTCACGCTTTGGAGGCAGTGCTGTGGGATAATTGTTCACCAAGTCTCCCACACTGATGAGCTCAAATTCAGTGTCATCTATTGTTTCTGCCTGGGTGTCAACCTGAGGCACTTGGAGAGACGTGTTCCCCAGCATGGCAGATTTCCTCACCCAGTCACTCACAGAGGAGCCACTGCCCGTTTTCGACCCCATGCCCCTGTTTTGGGGGGGCTGTGCCTCAAGCCAGGGATCCTCAGGGCTATCTGCAGGTTCTCCTGGCTGCACCCACTCCAAGTGAGCAATGCCTCCCTCCCCGCTGCTGTCCTTGGTGCTGCAGCTCAGCTCCGCACAGGAAAAGGACTCTTCCTCCTCCTCCTCCTCCTCCTGGCCTGTAGGAACAGAGTAAGAGGCGGAGAGGGAAGGAAACTCATTGTTCGAGCCCTTTGCTTTCTTTCCTGAAGAGCTCCTTCCACGGTGTCCTCCCTCCCTCAGCTCTTCTCCGCAGAGGGGCTCCTCCACCATCCTCCCTGCTGGAGGCGCGGGCCCCTCTGAGGAATGCTCAGGAGATCCCCCACAGCCATGGAGGGATTCTGGAGGAGCAGGATGCCAGGATCCGGCAGGTAACGAGCACAAGGGAGCATCCTGATTGTTTCCATCAGATTCCGTGGTGCAGCACCGCTCCCCCGCTGAGTCCTTCTCCCCTCGCTGCCCGTCCCTGAGAGACTCTCTGCTGCTATTGCAGCTTAGCTCCTCCCAGCTGGAAGAGTAACTGGATTTAAGCAGCTTGCACCAAGACTTCTCAGAAGTAGTGCTTTGGCTCCCGTTTTGCCCTCTGCTGAAGACATCGTTTTCGACGTTTATTTTCATCCCTAATGGCTCAACCTCCTCTTCCAAGGAAATTTTCATCACGCCAGAGCAGATGTCTTGATTTCTTTGGCCACTGGGTCCCTCTGAGGTGCTTCCTGCCGTTGGTGAGTTCGGGATTCTCCCAGCACCTCTCTTCTGGCGAACTGCGTCTTCAGTGGTGCACACGGTGTCCGTGGCTTTGGTCTCTGTTCTCAAGGTCGTGATGCAAGCTCCCACCTGGATTTCTCCCGGTGTGGTTTTACGAATCCTGCAAGTTTTTTCAAACACTTGGCACACTGACAGGTGATGCTGGGAATGCTTGGCAAGGATTTTCTCAAAGCTGGTTTCCCCTTGCAGGACAGGTTTTTGTACCGAGCCTTTATAACTGTCTGGGACGTAAGACCTGGAATCTGAATTCGGGAAGCTTCCCACTCGCAGGCGCTTCTTCACGGACGCGATCACAGACATGATCTCTTTGGCAAGCATGCCTTTATCCTCCTCCTCTGGAAACAAGGTGCTGTAGGAGTGCAGTTTTCCCAGGGCTTCCCTGCACAGCTGAGCCACCTCACGGAGCTCCCGGCTCTCTCCGTAGAGCCATCGGTGCACGGTGGCGAGGCAGAAGGCGGCTTTGATGAAACTGTGCAGCTCCTGCTTGCTGGTGATGGCACTCTGCTCCTCCTTGGTGAGCAGCCCGATCTCAAAGGATTCTTTGGCTTCAGACAAGTAGAACTCTCTCTTTTCCGGGGGGCAGTCCTTGGAGTGGCTGTAGGACAGCAGGCACATCCCACGGATGTTCTGGGAAGGGATCAAAGAGGAATGATGGAATTAAAAACACCTTTCTCTCCCTTACACAATCTGAAGCAAAGCTCGGCTCTAACTGCCTGCTGCTCTGTTTCCTGGAGGAAATAAACTTTCTCTTTTTTTTTTTTTCCCCCTTGGAAATACAGCTGTAATTCTAGGAGAAGCAGCCCTCACGGGGCTTGAAAGCCCATCCTCACCCTGTGGACAGCTTCCCTGACTGCATTTTGGAGCAACATAAACCCCATACAACCAACCAAACCCTCGACACGGACCTGGTGCCCTGTGCGATGCGCGGTTTGAAAGCCATGCCAGAGCCAAAATGAGCAGCCTGGACTCTCCCCCTGCCCAGATGCCCCTTCCAGAGGGAGGAGTGACACTCACCACGGCCGTGAGGACGAACAGGGGGGTGTACTGGCTGTAGGCAGCTGCCAGCTTGCAGGCCTCAGCCGCCGACAACAAGCGGTGGCTGAACTCCTGCAGGAGGCTCTGATGAAATAAAAAAAAAACCCAACAAAATAAACATGAGGAAAAACCTCAGCTCAAAGTTACTTTATTTCCAAATACACGGGGCCTGGTAGGCAGGGACAGTCATATCTCAAACAACAGCCTGGTCTGTTTCTGCAGGACCCTTTGTGCTGAGGTTTACCACGGATACTCTCACATTTGACTCTATAAATATTCTAAACAGATACACTCTATAAAAATATTCTTTCTGTGTTCTTTTTCCTGAAACCAGGCATTCCCCCATCTAGGTGCTACTGAACTTTTTCACTGGGAGCAATGGAAGTTCCTTCAGCCCTCTCAGCACAGGAGAGGGAATGTGTGGGTAACTCTGAGACCCTGAGGAATCCACACACACAAACCCAACCCAAGTCTCACCAGGGCAATGTCAGCATTGCTTTTAAAGCGTGCATAATCCTGCTCATTCATGGAAGCAAAGATGTCTGCCATAATACCCAAGGATGTGGCAATTCCCTGAAAAAGAAATTGAAAATTTTCATAGTGTTCTTTTTTTCCCCCCCTGTATTTTGAATTTTACTGCCCTGCTGTGTAGAACACGCCAGAAAAAACAAGCAAACAAACACACCGACAGGACCCAAAGAGAAGCGTGGCTAAGAAATTCAGAGATTGTCATCATGGTATGGTTTTATTAATTTCACTCGCAGGAAGTGTAATCTGGAAGACCTCATGCCACCTAAGGGCCTGCCTGGCCAAATAATTAAGAAAACCAGGTATGCTTTCACAAAATTCACCGCAGAATTCCCAGCTGCCGCTGAAATGGAGAACACTGAAAGGTTCTAAGCTTGAGGTCAAGCTTCAAGACATGGCAGACAAGAGGTGACAAGGTCTGGGTTTGTGGGATATCTTAGGCTGGGGTCCAATTACAGACCCTCTCCAGGCATCACCCGAGGACTTGCCAGGCTTAGGCTCACATTCCTGTTTAGCCATGGACACTGGGTGCAACTGCTGCCTCATCTCCAGTGGGAAGATTAGTGCTGCCCAGCCTCACAAAGGTGTTAAGGACAGGCACCGTGGCTGTGTGAGGTGTTCAGGTCCTGCAGGGCCAGGGGAATCCATCCCCCACCACAGACAGCGCAGAGCAGCTCTGCAAACAGACGTGCTCGGGGTGGGGGGAAAAAAAAATTAGTTCTAATCCTAAGAAACAGCTAAAATCTGTGTCTGCGCTCTGGAATTAGCCTGTCCTTGTCAGAGGCACCAGAGGCATCCTCAGGGATTCACTTCAGATGGTTCTGCTTAATGAGAAGTATTGCTTTCATCCCCCTGCAGGAAAAAACCAAGTGTGGCTAAGGCCGTGCATGCACGCGGAAACAACGCGGAATACAGACTTTGTGCTGCCTGTTAACCCTGGCTGAGGTGTGTAATCGAAACGCTGCTGCTGCAGGAAACAAAAGCTAAGCTGCAGTGATTATTGGATTGGCAGGGAGATGGGGAGTGGAAAGGAAATTGCTACCTTTTTATCTGGCTGGGGAAGTTTGAAGTATCCCACGATTGAAGCCCAGATCAGCTCTGCTGCCTCATACCACATCCCTGAAATCAACCAAAGAACAGGCACTGAGCAGGTGGCTGCCAAGGATGGCTTTCCATGGCTTATTTTACACCTCAGGTCCTCAGAGCAGGATAAAACCTTACCATGCCATGTTTTGCTTCAGTGACTCCGACCACTTACGAGTTACCTTTAATTTTTTGGCTAAAACACCCATTTTGTCCTCATAGAAGAGTTCGGCTCCACAGCTGTGGAAGATTTGGTGTCTCAAACCAACAGCAGAAAATGAAGGCTGTTGCCTCAAGTGCTAAACCCTGAATAGCCAAGTCCATCCTGCTGAAAGTCAGGGATTTTCCTGTCTTGAGAGAGGGCATTGCCAGGATGTCCCTGCCTTTGGGAGCAGCGAATTTGGGACAAACGTTAGCAAACACGGAGTGGCACGGGGAAAAAGGGAACATTTCAGATGTTCCTTAGATTCAGGTGAGATTAGTAATAAAATGATAAATCCTGCAATGCATTTACTTGGTACATGGATCCAGGCCCTTGCTGCAAAGAGATGGGTGTGGAACTCATCCTCTGTGCCTGATTTATGGGTATAGGGTGTTCACCACAAGCCAAAATTCTGACACGGGCCCAGTGTAATATTTTAAAGGTGAAAAAAGCCTGGGGGAAATCTTGAGAGGAAGCTTTTAGAATAAGAGAGCCTTACCAAGCTTTTGCAGAATCTGCCCCCTGATTTGTAAGCAGACTGCCTGAACAAGAATCCGATCGCTCTCCTCGGCGTATCGCCAGGTTCCTGCAGGAGGAGTGGGAAAACTCGGCATAGAATGAAAAATATTCCTCTCATTCGAAGCCTCCAAAGGTAACCTGAATCCCAGCAAACTGCCAGGATTCTCCTCCTTGCATGGAGGCCCTTTCCATATGAGAATCTCAGCTCCTCATGGAAAACAAACCAAGAGAACCTTGATTTTCACAGTTGTGCAGCGACCTGAGTACACCCACTAAAGAAACCCTGAAGGAAGGAAAATAAAACGTATAGAATAAGGTATTTATTCAGTCTGTAAGATCAGTGGGAGTGTGGAGGATGAACACTACTCCAACAATCTGGATTTTGGAGTGGATAGAGTTGTCTTAGTTTTCTACACCACTCAGTTGCTTGAAATTGCTCCACAGGTTGAACTGCTCCATTCGGAGTATTTTCCCACCTGAGCGAAGGTATGCAAGGAGAAATGATGGAAATATCAAAAATAATGTTTCCACATTTTAGGAGAGAATGGTGAAGGAAAGAGAAGTGTGATGTGAAGAGTCATTACTGGGATTGGTTTGGCTTAATTGAGGCTGGTGTAACTGTTAAAATTTGGATCAGAAATCGCACCAAAATAGCAAGTGTGAAACCAGAAAAGAAATTTATACGTACCCGTTGCCCCGTTGTCATTGATCAGGCTGCTGAGGATATACTCAGCTTTTAAAAGTTTACCTGGTTGAAAATGAAAGAAAAAAAAACACGGACAGAAAGTGGTCACAAAAATGTATTGTGGCATGACACGAATTAAAAAAAAACTCATCAGGTATCACCTGCTCCTAGAGCTGCTGCTGTCCCCAGCCAGAAATGCACGTGCCCCACCTTCTGTAGCCACGTGAAATTGTGAATATATCAGTTTCACTTTACACATTACACCCTCCTGGAAGACTGCTGGGATTCCCAGCTCTTATTTCCCTCCCAAGAGGAAGTATTCTAGCCTGCTTCCTTCAGCGGCAGTGCTGATGGATTCCCCAGGAAACATGGGCTTTTGGAAAGCTACTTAGGTCCGACTGGGGAGTGGCTTGACATCCCACCCCGGGAAGCACAGCCACAGGAAGATGTGTTAAAAATCCTTCAGGTGTCGTCCATGCTACAGGAATGATGGAATTTTATCTTTTTTCATCCTCGAGGAGTTGTAACCTGCATTGTTTGCATAGTCAAGTGGCCCCACTGAAAAATAAAAAGCAGCTGGGACAGTGCAGAGAAAAATGCCGGGATTCTAATTTCCTTTTTCAAGGCCCTCGGTCCAGGAGTACAGCAATTCAGATACCCCTGTTTGAAACCAGCAGGGAAGATTTGTTAAGGGACAAAAGCTCCAATTAGTATTTCCCACACCCTTTCACCATTTTCTCTCCTGCTTTTGCCTCCCAAACCCTTTATACCGGCCCCTTTGTGCTAGTGAGAGGAGCCGGGAGGGCTCCAGGGGGCTGGGAGCGGGAAGATGGCACTGTCAGCGTGTGTCCCTCCCAGCGAGGGACTCTCCCGAGCCGAGCAGCCTCTCCTGGAGCTGGAGGCAGAGCGGTACCTGCGTTGACGGCGAGGCGAGCCTGGCGGATGAGCACCTGCGGGCTGATGGGAGCGGCGGGATGCAGCCGGTGCAGCCCCTTGGCGATGCGCAGGAGCCTGCTGGAGGCGTCGATCCAGTAGAGGAAGCGGTCAATCAGGAACACCACGGCCGTGGCCGTGCTGCAGTCCCCGGCAAGGATGGAAGCCTTCAGATAAGCCTGAAAAAAAAACCCAAAAAACAACAAAAAAAAACAAACCCCAACCCAGGCATCCTCAGGGAAACTCACCTCAAATGTTCAGCTTCAGCCAGCCTGCTCCTCACCCCATTTGTATTTTGAGGCTAGCGAGGTGCCAGGTGCTTATTTTGATTGAGATGTAGATATAATTCTTAATTTTTATTTATTTTTTTGGGGAGGGGATGTGATTTTTTTAATTGTCTGATATTTGAAACTGCAGGATTTGGTGGTCTGCTAATGAATTTAAGTCATGCCCAGCAGCAATTAGTTGAAGAAAGCGGGGGTGAGACTGGGAAGGCTGGAGGTGGTCGCTGTAGCCATTTTCCCATTTGGAGCTTGAGACATCCACTCTGTGCACCACAAACAGGCAAACAGACTGGGAATCCAATACTTTTTCCCCTGCAGGCCATCCTTAATGACTCCTACGTGTCTATGAACTCTCCTGGATTCCCACAGCGGCCCAGCCACCGCACCCAGGCGGGGACCTGCCAGAATTCCTGAGATCCTTGCTGTTACCGCATCAGGAGGCCAGCAAAGACAGCCGTGGGAGACACACAGCCTCATCACAGCTGCAGAAATCCACGTGGACCTGGGGGACATTTGCCAAAACCCTGTCACCTCCCATGCTGGGCAGGGCCTGGTACTCCTGCCTGGTGGAGCGAGGAGGTGCTCCACACACTGACACCCAGGAGATGACTTTTCCAGAGACTGCCAAGAAATGTTTGTCCAAATCCCCACTAGAACATCCAGCAGCACCCTCTGAGGTGTGCAGGAAGAAGCACATGCCAACCTGGGGAAAAGCCTACGGCACGAAGGCCGACTTGCATCACCTATCCACGGCAAACACTTCCCTCCGAGGCGGATTTGTACAAATTCCCTTCCTTTTTCCCTTTTTTTTTTTTTTTTTTTTTTTTTTTTTTCCCCCGCCCCCCACACTTCCCTCAGCCCGAGTTGGATTTTCTAAGAAAGAGGATGGCACTTGAAAAGGATTCCTGAAGCTCCGGCAGGGACAACTCCGCTTGTGCCGGCCGACAGTGGAGGAATCCCCCTCTCCAAGCACCTGTAAACTGACACTGCCAACCAGCCATTCCAAATGCTCATCAACCATAGGCCATATATTTAAGCACAGAGCATCGCCTAATCTATTTTTTTTTTTTTCCTCCCCTTCTTCCTTTAATAGATGGGAGCACAAAAGCCTGAGAGAGGGTGACCTACCAAACAAAAGGGCCTTTGAGTTCCTAGGAAAAGTAGACTTGGAGGAGGATGGAAGGAATCCAAGTGGCCCTATTATTTCCACTTGCACTAATTAGACATTTTTCTGTCAGCTATTGAGCACTGCTGAGAGGCCAAACTCACTGAATTCATTTCTAAAGTGTTTACAGAAGTTTGCATCTGTTTGTGTCTCTTCAGGAGGAAAATAAGCACTTCAATAGCATTGTGGAAAATCTAAACGAAGCATCCTATTCTGAAGGGCTTGGCAGTCTTGCAGCTGCATAATTTAACTCCCCGCTCAATGCCCAAACCTCTTGTGTCCCTCTCCAAACCCAAATGGACACAAAATGTAGAAAAGTCAAGCCAGGGGGAGAAACTGGGCTATTTCTTTTCTTTTTTTTTTTTTTTTTTTTTTTTTTTTGGGGGGGGGGAGGCAGGGCCGCATGCTGTGTGGCACACAGCGACACAGGTCCCGTGTCAGCCTTGGCGGAGGAGGCGTCCGAGCAGGACACCGAGAAATTAATACCCGCTCCTTTCATTCCCTGCCAACTCGTGTGGCTGGAAAATTCCTCAGCACCTCCGGCGGGCGCACCGGGCATCCTTTCCCCAAACACCGCTCCAAGATGAGCCGGGACGGCGGCTTCCCTGTCAGCCAGCCCCAGAGCCAGGAAAACCCCTCTGGATGCCGGGATGTCTCGGCCTGCTCCATCACAACCAGGAACTGGCAGCCTACACAGCTTTACTCGCTTTCTCCATCGCTTTAGGCGCATCCAGAGAGAGAGAGAGGGAGGGAGGGAGAGCGAGGTACGCTCGCACTTTGTTTTCACATCTGTGCCCGCGATGTGAAATGGATCTGCCTAATTGAGTTGATGCCACAAAGGGAACCTCGCGGCTGGGAAGTGGAATCAGGTGGTGGGAGAATTAAATTTGCGCCAGATTTCTATACACGGACCATTTTGGTGGGGGAAATGCAAAGCAGCCTTTAGTGAAGGGGTCTGGCCTTGATGGCGCTGAGTGGGGAGGGTGTGCGGTTCGCTCGGCTCCTCCTCGCACCGGGGCTGAAGTTTGGGTCCCAGCTCTGGGTTCAAAGCCACGACGCCTCCTTTGCATTGACAATGGGGGCCGCTCCCAAGAGAGGGGAGAAGCTCAGAACCGGGGCCATCTGGCACTAGGACGGGCAGGAAAAGCGTCAAAGGGAAATTATTGGTGCATAGTAAATGAGGATGAGGAGGAGGGGAAGGAAATAGGGGAAAAATCTTTATGTGGCAGCTGATGTAAGAGGAATTACAAGCCCAAATAAATGAAATATTGATTTAATCCACTCTCTCGGCCCTCTTTATAATGCCAAGATCCCAGAGGCAAGCCCTCCTCCATAGCCTGCGGGCTCAGGAGGATCCCCTTTGGAAAAACTCCTCTACAAACAGCGTGATTAAAAGCAAGGGGAAAAAAAAAAAGAAGATTTCATTTTCAGTGTCCCCCACAGTCTTGTGGGTACTCTGGAGTTCCGTGTTGGCTGATATCCGCTTGTCTCAGAGTGGAGTTGCACTTGTGACTGCAGCCAGGTTTTAAAATCTTTTTAAAAAGCCACAAAACTGAGAGGGGCCGGCAGAGGATTTCTAATTCCTGGAGCAAGGCGGGAGCGTCGGAGGCACGCACTTACTTCCAGGTGCTTCGCTCCTCTCCCAGGAGCTGCTCCTAGTTAGCACTCCGCTGAGCCCTACCAAATTCCCCGGTTTCCTTTCCTCCTGTCAGATTAAACACAGAGCCACGGGGCCGATGGATTGGGATGGATTTCCCCCTCTTAGCCCACGCGCCGCTGGCAAAGCCCGTCCTTCCCAGAGACCAAAGCTGCTGTCACCGCACGGGACTTCTCTATCAATCCCTGCCTTTCAGCTGGCAATCAGAGCCCACCCCACAAGCAGCAGGGAATTAAGCCTCCCACCACCGCGGTGATGGGCAGAAGGAAGCGTGTCTGGACAGACTGACACACGGGACAGTCACACAGAGAACTGAGGAACTCCTGGACACTTCCCTCTTGGTCCCGAGCAGATGAGAATTCTCCCTCACCCTCAACCTGTTAATTATCTCGAGTTATTCGTCCTGCAGGCAGCGGAGAGTTGGGAATTCCAAGGCAGCAGCATGATAGGTCCATTAGGAGCAGCTCAAAACAGACCGGGACAGCTTTCACAACCACCTTGATCTTGTTTCACCAACTGAGGAAGTCCTGGAGTGGGAATATCTCCTGATTTCCTCAAGAAAAAAAGAACAGCAGCGTTTTGTGATGAGGAGGAGAAATCTTAAAGTGTCCAGGAAGCTGCTTGAAGTGGGGGGGTTCCTGGGGGCCTCGTATCCAAGAGGGTAGAAGGGATTTGGGGGACCACGCTCACACGCAGGGTTCCTGCTCTCGATTAGTACCGAAGTGTCGCAATCGTTTTGTGGTCCTGGTTTGTTCTGGACCGCTTATAAAGGTCTCCTTTTAAAAGGAGATATTTTAATATCTAAATGTAGCAAAACGAGCGTCAGAACCCCCCGCTGAGGGAGCAACAGCAAGACTATTATCAACACCTAAAAATAAAAGAGACTCTTCCCTGAATCGATCACATGAGAAGACTCCAGGAAGCTGCTTCTGTGTAAAGGAATAAATCCTACACATGAGCAAAGTGGAGTGACAGCCTTACACAGACCCGGGATCCAGATTCCCTTTTTTTAAAAATAAATAAATAAATAAATAAATAAATAAATAAATAAAAATGAATAAAATATATATAAATTTATGGTTAATTCTGCTGTAGTTTTCCCACATAGGCGGCAGAAGACAGAGCACCAGGGCCGTCACAGCCTGGACAGCTGAAGCTCTCCTGCCTGCAGCTGATCTCGGGCACTTCTCGCTTACAGAGCCCCCGGGAGGCCGGGGTGCCGCGATTCCCTCCCGGTCTGAATCCATCCCGCACAACACTCCCTCCGTTTCACAGCGATCACCCAAGAAGAGCTCTTAGGAGGCAGGTAGCAAAAGGTCAGCCTCAACAACCGAGATCCCAGGGCTACCATTTGAGGCTTTAATTCTCCTATTACCACACCGGCAGCTAGAAGGAGGAGAAAACTAAATCCTCAGCCCCCGCTTTGGTTCTTTCTCAAAGGCTCCCAGCTCTGAAGTGCCACACACACACCTACTGCAGTTAGGGCACGTCCCTTGGAATGGGATCCCTAATGGCAATCCATCAGCACCTAATTAGCCCGGGCCCAGCCGAGGGCTGCAGGGCCTTATTTTCCCCCCCTTTTCAATATTCCCATTAAATCCCATGAGATTCCGAGCCAGCCCGCACAGCTCCCTACGGAGCAGCCCCGCTCTTGGAGGCTTTTCCTTTTGTATTCCCATTGCACCCGTCCCAGCAGATCCTGGTCCATCACCGAATGCAGGAATTACTGATGGGTACCACAAAAATGAGGTAAAAAGCCCCACATCATCACTTGGGGTTTGCAAACGGGGAAAACAAACAAACAAACAAAAATTTTAAAATAAAAAATAAAAAAATAATGTAGCGTGAAGCATCCCACAAGAGAATTATGCGCGTGTGCATGGAGCTGTCCTTCAGCTAAATCCACAGCAGGTTTTTTGGGATCAAAGCTTGCGTGGACATGGGCATGTTGCCCTCTATTGGCTGCTCACCGAGCATTAGGCTAATTCCATCTCTTGGGAAAGCAAAGATCTGCAGGAAGGGCACCCCTGGCAGCCTCCCTTTGGGATCTGCAGCCCCGCTCCGAACCCCACAGCGCAGGTGGTGTTTAGGGAAGAAAAATCATCCCTGCTTACTTAGCCCTCCCAGCAAGGATGCCGTGACAATTCTGACTTAAAAAAATCCCAGTGTATCCCCGTTTTGGCTTTGGATACGGATGTTGGCTATCACCCTTTGAGCCTTACTGCACATTCCCACCAGGAAAGGCTCGGTTTGCTGGCTGGAACCTGTCAGGAAAACGTGGAAAACATTGCCTTGAGCTTGCTGAATTGCGGTGGCCTTCGGGCGGTGAATCCCGGCGGGGAAAAGGGAAAAAAAACCCCTAAAATTCAAACCAAACCCTGGCACCATCTATGGCACGCTGAGCAAAGGGGAAGGAGAGCACTTAGAGAAGCTGCCGGCGCAGGTGGCTTTGCCTTCCTGACGCCTCCAAGGAGCGCGGAGCTGCCGGCAAGGCGGATCCCACTTTTTATTATTTTTTAAAAAAAAAAAGAAGTGTGACAACACCGAGGCAAACCCTTGAAGCCTCAGCCTAATCCTCTTACTCCCTGTGCCGGTCTCATGGAGCTTTTCAGCCCCCTCCCAGTGCGAGACATCCTCACCGAGAGCCCCGGTAGCCAGCGCTGCCTCCTGCAACACCGCCAGTGTGTTATGGTAATGATGCTCCTTTCATTCACAGATCTCAAAGCGCTTTTTAAATGTAATGAATTACGGTTTATGAGCTTATTCGAAGCATGGCAAATTAAAATAAACAGAGAGGAAAATTTTTTTAAGGGTTTTTTATTGGGTTTTTGTTTTTTTTTTGTTTTTTTTTTTGGTTTGTTTTATTTTCCCCCCTGAACAATGTATCGGTAAAGACTTAATTTTTTTTTGTCCTTCAGGGAATTAAATTATTCTTCTGTCCCTCATGCCAAAAAAAAAAAAAAAAGAAAAAAAAGAAAAAAAAAAGAAAAAAAGTTGCTCAGACTTTTATCTTTCTTCATCACACTGTAATCACTTCTCTTCAGCCTCATTTCCCCCCTCCAGCTTTTTATTCAAAGGACTGAGGCAGCCTTTGCTCTGCCTTGAAATTTTATTTAAAATAAAAAAGAGGGGGGAGAAGGAATGGATGAAGGGGAAAAAAAAATCCCTTTTCCTGACTAATACTAATAATACAGGTCAAAATGTCAGTCTATCTACAATTAAATGGAAAACAAAAAAGGTTTTCCCTTTTTCCCATGGTACAATGGCGCTGGAATATAAATTACCGATGAAGATGAAATAATACTTCAAAGCACATGGGGAAAGGCAGCACAACGTTTACAAAGTATTTTCCACCGCGGGATGAAACATTGGAGACAACGGCAGCCAATGGACTTCAGGGGGTGTGGGTGAATAGCCCAAAACTAGCACGGAGGAGGATTTGAGGTCCCTATAGTCTCTGACCCCACGATAGGCTTTGTTTAACAAGGGCAGCTGCAGTTATCAACAGATGTTTCAGCAATAAATAATTGGTATCATCCCAGAAAGGATCCATCTACCTGGGGAGAGGGCATAATGCCGCAAACGCTGCTCCACTATTACAGCCACATTAATCTCCCATCTAGCCAGGTCTCTCGGGGAGTTTGCTGCAGGTGTTTATCCCGGGAGGGAGCACACAAACGCTCCCAAGTTGGAGAGCTGCGCTGGCATTGTGAAGGAGGTCAACCTCCGCCATAAATTTCTGTCTGAGGCCACACACACCAAAGGGAGAAAGAAAATAAATACCCGAGAGCAGCCACTCCCCGCCCTCCCCGGGGAAATTCAGGAGCCCTGCGATGTGGGGATGCTGGGGCTCCCACTTGGCTGGGCTCCTCACTGCTCCATGCTTTTCAGAGGAATCAAAGCTGCTCCCAAAGAAAACCTGCTGGCCTCACTGAGGCAGGACTCTCCGGGGCAGGTGAGATCTCCTGGCCACCTTGGAGTTAACAGCAGGCAGGAATGGGACAGTGTTGGCTTCAGGAACAAACAGGAACAAACCCTGTCCCCATAAAATTCACAAACCTCATCTTTAGCCCTCTCCTGGCCAAGGGATAGCCCTTAGCCCAGATATTACATTGACCATGATAAAAAGGTGTCCTCTATTTGCCACATGTCTGACATGTGCCTAGGAAAATCAGAAAAGCAAAAAGCCATCCACATTTCCTGCCACTTTATAATCTTTAAGCTCAAACTCATCGCTTTACGGGAGGGGATCCCCAAGGACCTTTGGGATTCTGCAGCTCCTTACACACCCATCCTTTACTCACAGGAAAAATCACATTGAATCCTTGCCTTTCCTACCTAGGTTTTGGTCCTCAAAGGGACTCTGTCACGTAATTTTATTGAAAGAAGAGCAGCTGATGAACTGTGCAAGCGAGTGATCCCCAGGATTTCGTTGCAGAGCAGAATTACTTGTCAAATGCGTGGGTTTTTAAACAAAAAACCATTACGTGAACACTTGGCATTTTTGTGTTATTATAATGCACAGCTCTTCAGGGAAGAGGGAAGCATTACCTTATAGTGGAAACAGAACCACAGCTGCCCTGTGAAACCCCTCCCCCGAGCACATCAGCGGGACATTTTACACCACAGGTGTGTTGAACTCCATACCAGCAAGTCAGGGAGCCTGGCGCTGATCATATCTTGCAGGTTTGTTTTGTCTTCTGGGCCGAGGTCTTGTTTGTACTGCCACCTCTCCGGCACAAAGGGCCACTTCATTTCCTTTGCCTCCTCCAGGAGGCTCCTCAGCTCCTCAGGAAGCAGAGCTGAAAGGGTCAAAGAGCAGGTGAGGATATGGCAGCAGGTTCAGCCGCAGCGCCCAAACACACCGATCCCTGAAAAAGCCCCTCTCCCAGTCGCTCCCACGGGCTCCCAGCCCTTGTCACCAGCCTCGTGGGAAGGGGAGCTGGCCTGCCATCCGTTCCCCTTGGCTGCACTGCCCTCCAGGTGAACGGGAGCCTCCAGCCATTAAAAAGGCTTTTAGCAGGAAGTCATGCCAGCTGGTGGCTGCCTGGGCGTGAAGAGCTCTTTCCAAAAAAGGCAGGAGGGAACCTGTTCCCCTGTGTGAGGGGAGGACAGTGGGGTCAATGGCACACATTTGTCCCACTTGCTCAGGTGACAGTGGCAGAGCCAGCCTGGAAATGCACTTCCAAACTGGGAGATAAACCTGGAGCACAGACAGCAATCAGACAGAAATCCAAAGGGCTGTAATGAAGATTAAACACAAGCCCTTGAGTGGTTTGTCCCTCCTTGCTCCCTCTCCATACTGCTCCTAAACCAGCTGGATCCTCAGCTTTGGGTGGATCTCCAACCTGATCCAACTAAGGATGCAATCACTAGGAGCCTGGGGCTTGGATCTGTCCCTTCCTTCCAGCCAGAGCCCACATTTCATTTTCCTTGCAAAAAGGGTGATGTGGATGTGCTGTGCCGTGCTAATCATCCGGCTGGGCAGCCTCTCTGGCCAATAAAAGTGGATTAACAAAGATTATTGACCAGATGGGGTTAATGGTGATCATCAGCTGCAGATCTGGCCCCTTCTGGCCATTAATCCCCCGAAAAACCCCTGCTCAGAGACCATCGCTGCCTTAACGAGGCAACACAATAAATGCATTGCTACCTATTTTTTAATCAGTCCTTTATGCAGGGACTGTAGAAAATGAACCTCCTAAGAAGGATGCTCCACTCTCATATTGCAGCACATTCACAGGTATGGTTTTGCTGGGAGGAAACAGCAAGTTGGATATTTAGGGCCCACTTCCAAAAAGTCAAGTCCACAATGTTACCGCATTTCCCCAACCCACTTTTTCTCACTTGTTGCCATCCCAAGGAAACGTGGGGTTTGGGAATCTTCCCCTTTCACACCCTGGCTTAACGTAAAGCCCAGTTTTTCCTTATCCTCCCGAAGTGGTGCCTGAAGGGGCTCAGCCCTGAATGCCGTGGCAAGGCGGCCAAGCGCCAGAGCTGATGGGGAGAGGAGCTCCCGCTCCCACTCTCACCCTTGCCACAGAAAACCCGTGCTAGAACAGAGATATCTCGTCACAGGGATGTTCATCTCATCACAGGGAACGCAAAATTATGGACAGAACGACCTAGCTCCCATGTAGAAGGGGGACAACTGAACTTCCTAAGTCTTTTCCTAAGGAAGATCCAGCTCCAAGGACAAGAGTTTACCCCTGTAACAGAGACAGCTGTTCTCACCGCTGGCAATATAAACTCATTAAATAACGAAGACCGAATGGGCACAGAAGTGGAGTGGAATGATTTCTAGCCTAAAAAAAGAGAAATAAAGAAGAATTCCAGACCCACCCAACACCCATTCTGCCCCCTAAAGGGAGATAAAGATGCGCTCCTCCTCTCCCCTCTCCCCAGCATTTCTGTGGATGTGGCTTTCAGTCCTTCCTGCCGCAGGTCTGAGAAAGCCGGGGGGGAAACAAAGGCAGCCCCGGGAGGAGAGGGGGGCCAGGAAAACCCCTCGGCCCCTGCGCTGGGAGGGTCCCCCCGAAGCCGAGAGCCTCCGACCGGCGGGGCCCTGCCTTCCCCAGGCAGAGAGCCCCAGCAGTTATTAATGTCGCTGTCACCACCCCGCTGCTGGGTATTTTTCTTCCAGCTGATGGGAACACGGCCCTCGGAAAAGCCCGAGCAGCACTTGGGGCTCTGATCGCCCATTTCCTGAAGCAGTTTACCTGAAGGACCGTGTCTAATCGAGTGATTATAAGGGCACTGATTTACCTTATCTGGAACTAAACTGATTACTTCTCATACTTTGTGGTATTTAATAGGAGAAAAGGAGGGAGGAGGATGAGGGGGGAAAAAAAAAAAAAAAAAGCGCTACCTGATTAGGAGTTCAAGAGCCTATTCTGCGGAGCCATAGTAAAACTTAAAAAGAATTTGCGACGAGGAAACAAAGTACCCTTTGTTGGAAACAAAAGAAGAGGAGAGAAAAATCTTCCAGTATCCATAACAGAAAGCTACACGCCACCCTCCAGCGCAAACAGACTTAGGTGCTTCAGAAAAAGGCAGCTGACCTCCCAGCAAGAACAAGGATGGTCGGAAAAAACATATTCTCAGCGGCTCCGCGCCCCGGGACAAACAAAGGGCTTTTAAAGATCACATTAACGTTATGGCCGAGCCACTCAAGCAAGGCAAAACTAAACATTATTAACACCAAACTGGAAAACGGGCAGCGCCGCGGATGCCTCACGCGAAGGGAAACCTTAATTCCGCTGGAATTAAGAAATAATAAACCCTCCATTCGCAGCGCAGCAGCGATACCGAAGTAGCTGCTGGTCTCCAGCAGGTAACGCCAGCATTAAAACAAACGAGGAATCCTTTCATTACACCTCTCTCGCTAAACGCTGCTTCCTTTCCTGGTTATTTATTCCAGACTTTAGCCAGCACGGATTTTCCTTTCAAGAGGGATATTGCAAAGCCTTTTTTTTTTTTTTTTCTTTTTTTTTTTTCTTTTTTTTTTTAATAACTGAAATTTATGTGCATCAGCAAACTTTTGGGCATTGTTCTTCCCCAAACTAAACTGTTCCTTACAGCCTCATGTTTACTGAAGCCTAAAATTAGAACTGACAGCAATTCACTGCAACAAAGTGGACTTCTTTCCCTGCCTGCCTGTAGCCCGCATCCCATTCATGGCCTCGAAATCCGGGCATCTCTTGACACTCATCTGCCCGGAGAAGAAAAATAGGGCAGGGACGAGGGCCGGCGGAGTCCTGCCGCCTCTCCTGGGGAGAGCTCACCTTGGCACTGCCGGTATTCCCGCTCCTCTCCCTCGCCCGTGCCGGCCTTGGGTGCCAGGAGCGTGTCCAGAGCCCGCTCGCACTCCTGCAGCAGCACGGCCACGGCGCTTTGCTTATTCATGAGGGCTGATCCCACTCGGCTGTGAATTGGGTGTCCCCGGGTGCACGGTGATCAATTACTCAGCAGAAGACACGGGGGGGTCCAAATGAAAAGGATCCCTTCAAGGCTGAGGTACCTGGCAAACAAAGGAGGGGGAAAATGATTAACTAAAGTATCATCAATTATCTGAAAGGCTCAAGCAGGGGGGAAATAATAGGGGAAATACATGAAAATACATGACAGCCTCGGAGGACTTTATTAGAGGAGTGTGTGAAATCACTGCGGGGTCCCGCTGACAGCGTGCGAGGGGAACATCTCTGAGGTGCCAGCGAGACAGGACAGGCTCATCAGCGGAGCCGTGACATCCCGAGCAGGGAAGTGACTGTCGGGGCTGCGCCCAAGCCCTTTGCACCTGGGAGGCTCCTCGGGCTGTCACACACACTTAGCCGGGATTGAATGGCAGAGAGGAGCATGCTGTGTGCATTTCCCAGACTACGGAGATCCTCTCTTTTACCCTGGGATGCCATCCCGGCTGTGAACGTTCTCCGTGCACGTCCCCCTGCGAGTCCTCCAGGTGCTCAGGACACTGCCAGTGGTGATGCAGGAAACCTCTCACCATTTCCATGACTGGTATCTGGCTCAGCCCCTGCCAGAACACTCAGACAGCTTTGAAAAAAAATTAAGCACGAGATAAATACTTTGGGCTGGGTTTTTTGGTTTTTTTTTCCACCCCTCACCAATTTGATGATGGTTTCACTTAGAAAAGCATTCCTGCAGTTTGAAGTGATCGAGCCAGCAGCAGCCTCAGTGAAAATATGTCTAAAACTGTGGAAACACTGTGGCAGTGAAGGAAGAAGGGGAGTGCAAAGGACAACACACACGAGGCCCAGCTTGGCTCTGCTGGCTGGAGAGCACTCACATTTTAGCAGCTACGCTCCCAGGCAGTTTTTCCCCCTTTCTGCTGCGGCTCTGGGATGGCTGGATGCTGGAGCTGGCGGCAGATAGGCTGTGCTCCCAACGGCACTGAGCGGGAGCAAGCTGCCAGACTGAAAAGCAGAGGGCAAAAGAGATGCACTCATGCGAAAGCAGAGAGGATCAGGGAGCCTGCCGTGGAAGGGCAGGTGGAGCAGGGCAAAAGATGGGATTCAGCAGCAAAGAGCCTGGAGGCAGGAGCTGCTCAGCGGGGCTCTGACTGACTCTGCAGACAAATGTCACAGAAAGAAGAAATTCAAAAAGTAGCTGGAAAAGGGAGACCGAGGGAAGGAGCACAAGCGGCATGAGAGAAGCTGGGGAGCAAGTAAAAGATCAGCCAGAGGCGGATTAATGGATAAAAGCAGAAGGTAAACCTAGGAAGCATTGCCCGTCTTTTTAGCCTGAAGTAAAAGCCACCAGGGCCACTCTGTGCAGGGTTTGAGCCTGAGCTGAGCATAGCTGGGTGCTGGGATCGCATCCCTGCGGATGCACTGGGCCCATTTAGCGGCTCCCTTCAGGACCAGAAAAGGGGATGGAGCCTGAGACAGGGCTGGGGAACAAAGCTACAGCGTGGTCCCAAGTCCACCCAGGAGATGGGGCTGAGCCAGCTGTCACTGGCAAAGACGAATGGAAAAAAGGACACTAAAAAAGGGATTTGATCACGGTGCAAGGTCCAAGCCCACATCCTAGTTTGCAAAGGTGCCCTCTCCCTAAGGATCCGTCAGGGACAGATCTCTGAACCCAGGAACAACAGCCAGAAAGCAGAGTCCTCTGCTCCACCCTGCCAGGTCTAGAGAAGCTGATCCAGTTGCTGGGTACCCATCAGGGAGGAGGAAAGCCTAGTCACGCTAACACACCTATGCCGGTGTGGCTTTCCCCGTCAACTGCACTGACATCTGCTAATTGATTTATCTGATTACCCAGCCCTGTGGGAAGGAGTGTGCAGCCGTCCCAGGAGTACCTCCCAGGTTGGGATGAAGCATCCCTGCCATCTGGCCTGGACTCCATTCCTTTGTGTAATTGATTTCTCAAAAAAAAAAAAAAAATCTCATTTTCCAGGAAGCCCACTCCAGTGACTACCAAGCACATATACACCTGTCTTGGATCCGCTGTGGACGGTAATCCTGGGAACTGGGACCTGGGAACTGCTTCAGGAGGGTGCAGAAGCACAGTGGAGAAGGCCTGCGCGCAGCTGCCACCTCACAGCCTGTAAATAAATGCTCATAAGCACAATTTGCTGCGAAGACGCACTAGAGCACGCAGACACTGGGGTGTTTCCCTCGACAAAAAATAACCTGGCACCAGGAGCATCCAAGGGAGTTCATGGACGTGCTCCACTTCTCTGTGTTACAGCTCAGGGCCCCAGATCAGACTTTTAAGCCCAGCTCTCGTTGGGTCTTTACTGCAGGCAGGAGGGCCCCGTGGCTTTGTGAGCCACACAAGCTGCCACTCTCACAAAGAAATGCTGGGGCTTAGCAGGGAAGCTCAAATTAGTGTGGAAGTACGGCACTTGGCTTCCTTGGATTGGGAGGATTTAACTCACCGGGAAACTGCCAGGTCCCTAACAGTGATCTATGAATGTCAGCAAGCAAGGGATTCTTCCTCAAGTACATTTTTCCAAAGAACTGAATGAACAGCAAGGACACGGAGTAATAAAATAATGATTTACAGCAGCAGCAACGCCAGAGTGCTGGAAGCACAGAGAAAAGTGCAATAAACTGTACATTAGTACTCAGAAGGTAGAGAGCCTATGGAGAGCCATCACTGGGGACAGCGACTCGCATCATAAAATCAGCTTAAAATGCACCACAGAGCTTTAAACCACACCAGCATCCTTTACACAGATGCCACTTTGTAAGTTGTGTTTTGTGACAGCTGTGGCGTTGAGTGACAGCTGGGAGGGGGAAATAACCAGGCACGCAGCTTTCCTGGGGAAACACAGGACCCGAGCCTAAAGCCCAGGAGCAGAGCAGCAAAAAACTTCTGGAGGCCTTTAGAACCCTCTCAATGGTTACTAATCAGCTTTCTCAGAGTTCCATTAAATCCTAACAAGTGGCACTTTAAGGAGATGGTTTTGAAGTGGTAAAAATTGCAGCTCGACGCGCTGCAAAACTGCCTGGGCAAAAATGTTTTCTAAGCATGCTCTTAGAAACGCTCTTTGAAAACACATAATAAAACCAATTTTGCATCAGATTGAGGATTTAAGCACTGCTTGGTGGCAGGAAAGCTGCTTTACTCCTGTGTGGGGCAAAACCAGCTTTTAAATGCTTGATGTAATTGTTAAGACGCTTTAAAACAGAAATGGTGAGGGGGGAAAAAAATAAAATAAATCTGTGCCATTTCTGATTGGAGCCTGGATTAAAACAACTCCTTGCATCAAATACGATGAAAAAAAAAATATGACAAAGGTCTCAGGGGATGAGAAAATACATTTCTGAGGTTGCCCTCTAATTGGAGCTGGGGTTCAGAACAAGAGGGATGGAGGGAAGAATTGGGTGGGCTACAGAGAAATGATCTCTTTAATAAGAAATGGGCCATACTGTGACATTTCAAGGCCCTTGGGCTAGAAGACCAAAAGATCTGTCAAAGAGAAAGGAATTTTAAGTTCTGCCATGGATGGAAGGAAGCCTGGGAGTCAATCTAGCCGGTTTAAGACTGCAATTAGCTCTGGAGGCTTTAAGAAAAAGAAGATGTAATTGCTGCATTCAAACTTCAAATGCAGCAAGGATAACAAGCGCTGGTTTCTCAGACAACATCGTTTGGGAAATTTTCCACAGCATTATGGTCCTGAAACACAAATTAGAGATCACCAGACCTTTTCTCTCTGAAAATATATTATCCTAATTTTCATCTTATTCAGGGTACCCTCCAGGTCCAGGGAGACTAATGAAGAGGAAGCAAAGACCTGATGAGTTCCATGTGGAGACTGCATTTATGGATTAATCCCAACAGGGAGCAAATAAACCTCATTCCCAGAGCTCTCGGCTGGGACTCGACACAATCAATCGAGGAATGGATAGTTATTTATGACTGAAGCTGTTTTGACTTTCAAATAAACATTTTAATTATTTTAAGTGTTACACTGCAACTTAGAATGTTGAGCCCTGTTTTCATTGCACTGCCTGGCTCTCCCGTCTCCTAATCCCAAACCACTCCGGTCATTATGACACCGTGCAAATGACACTGATTTTCATGCCTAAAACATTTGAAAGGTAAAATCCATGGACCAGGCAAACTAGAGAGGAGGAAGGAGGACAAGGGAGGAGGATCCCTCTGAGTGGAGCCAGCATAAATGAAAGGAACACTCTCAGACTACACTGAGCCCCAAGAAAATGAGGTGCCCAACTCCGAAACCCTTTTGTAATCAAGTTGGCACATCCCGATCCACCTTCGTATCCTGCTCTTCCCTGCCTTTTCCTACAAGCAATTTTAATAAGCAAAGTACTCAGGGGTGTTTCTTTTCCAGCAGCTCATTTTCAATTCAAGTACCTGCACCACTTGCACTGCTGGCTTTTCCCTCCAGCCTGACTCGGGGTGCTGTGGCCCTTCCACCCACGGCTTCCCTGAGGTTAACAAAGCCACACTCATTTTTAGGGAAGCTCTTCAGGCTGTCAGAGTCTCTTGCTAAATAAAGACAAGGGGTGAAATCACGACACAGAGGCAGTGCTAGGTCTGTTGTAGCTGTTGGGGCTACGGTCTCACCTTCACTCCGTGTGATGGCATTTCACCTCCCTTTGCTTTTCTGTAGGGAGACTGAAAAAGCTGCAGGAGGTTGCCCTTGGAAGAGCGATGGAACATTTGGGCTGGCGTTTTCACCTGCAGCAGGTAAGAGGGAGCATGCACATGACACAGCACCCTGGGCTGCCCTCCCTCCTGTGCATTTATGCACGAGCCTCCTGGAGTCCTTCCCACCACTCCTGGCAAAAATAACAGGCTCAGCTTTATATTTGGATTTGGCAGCTTGAGGGATTAAAAACTAAAACAGGAGAAAAAGAAAAAAAAAAAAAGAAAACATGTTCTTGGTAACTCAGCAAAGGTTTCAAGGATTGAGTTAGTATCACCTTCCACAGAAGGCAAATTCAGTTTCCCTGAATATTTCAGTGCACACATGCTTGTGTTTTCCTAGAGCATTTACCTCTCTTTGGAAAAGGATGGTTTAAAAAAAAAAAAAAAAAAGATAGGTTTGCTAGGGGCTTTATTCAGTTAGTTAGCTAGTTTACTTCTCTGGCTTAAAGATTAGATGTTTTCTTTTGGTAAAGCTGGCTATCCCAACTGGCTGTATTAAAATAAGGAAGAATCTCAATCAAAAAGCCTCTCCTAAGGCAAGCTTTCTTGTTAATATGCACCAACATGAAAGGGTTTCTTTTCATCCTATACAACTACAGTGTGTGTAAATTGCAGGGGGCTCATTGGCATAAATCTTGGCTGTGACCTCTGAGGTAAACTGGATTTACATTACTTTCTGACAAGAATTAAATGAAGGCCTTGTGGATATATGAACAGCCTTCTAGACTGCAACAGATGGGCATGAATGTGCTCCCTAGGCAAACTATCAGTGACATCTGTGTCCTCCAAATTCTGGTGGTCTCAGCCAATTAGCAGGCAAAAGGGGGAAAAAAAAAAAAAAAAAAAAAAAAAAAAGAAAAGATAAAAAAAAAGCCAGCCCCTGCACAGCTTCCTCAGCCAGAGCCAAAGCAGAAGTGCTTCTGTTTGGAAATGGGATCAAGAACAGCCTCCAGCAGCAAGGAGGTGCTTTGCTGGCCGCTGTCACTGTGGAGGTAACACTGCAGGAAAAGCTGAAGTGGTTAGGTAGAACTGGTATTAATATTAACACAGGACAAAGCCCAGCCCCACCTAAGCCTGTGTGGGGCTAGGGTAATGGGGTGCCACCATGGATTTACACTGCTGCAGCCAAGGAGGGAGTTTTGTGGACCCTAAAAAGTAGAGGAGGGGTGAAAGCGAAGCCCAGTGCCTGCAACAGCTAGGGCAGGAAAAGCCCTGCTCTTGATCCATATTCAAAACCTCTCTCCCTGCAGAAGTAGCCAGAGTTGGAAGGGACCCATAAGGATTCCCAAATCCTCTCCAAGCATCCCTCCTCGGGTGGATGGGGTCTGGGGAGCAACATACTCGACGGCCACTGCACCTGCCTGCCCCAAAGCCCAGTGCTTTGTGGAAGAGCATTTCAGCAGCAAACATCCAGGGGGAAAAAAAAGAAAAAAAAGAACAACTTTTCTAGTTTTGTTTGTCAGAATGAGGTTTGGGATTCCTTGGGGTGCAGCACAGCCACAGAACAGAGCCAAAGCCACACAGCCACTGCTCACCACACGGAGGTGGCCAGAGGGGCATCAGGGAGTCAAAACCCATCTCCAGCCTACAGCAGAGCCACGGTTTTAGGCCAAGTTGCACCAGAGGAGTGACCCAGACCAGCACAAAACTTCAAGCTTATTCTCTGTCTCCCAGTTTTTAATGGAGCTGACATGGCAGGAGCAGGCAGGACCTCTGGCTAAAAGCAAAGTGTGGAACAAAAGCACCTGTTGTTTCGCCCTGGTCATGACTTTTCAGAGAGGCCACTTGGGTGTTTTTCCCTCACCGCTGCTACCCCAAGTACTACCAGGGGATGTTAAAAAAAAAAAAAAGGATTAATTGAGGAGCAGATCAATAAATTAAAAAGTTCTAAAAAAAAAAAAAAAAAAAAAAAAAAAAAAGAAAAAGGAGAAAAGGCATAATGAATTTGGTACAGCACATATTTTTAGATCAAAGATGCCTTTGAAGTGACAAACCCTTAATCCATAAACTACTGAAGCACTTCCTTTCTCTCCCAAACTACTTGTTGTCAAATAAAATGGAAGTTAAGGAAATTATCTTTATCTGAAAATGGCCAAAAGAAGCCATCACCTAATGACAGCCTTGTCAAAATGACAATTGGGGAAATTGTTAGGAAGGGGAGGCCTGACGACTGGAGGAATAAGCTGGCTGTTTGCTCTAATCTGGTCAGGCAGGCCCCACACAATTCCAGTCAGCTTGCTGTGTGAAACAGCCAAGTCTTTGTCAGCGCAGGCAGGGGCTGGAGAGACTTCTCTTTCATGAATATGTATCACCACCCTCCACGTCTACAGAAAAAAAAAACAAACCAAACCTTCCAAACAGCAAAATAATTTTTTTTTTTTAAAAAAAATAAAAATAAAAAAATAAAAATGGAACCAACAAAAACATAGAAAATAAATCTCAGAACGACAAAATCCTGAGATGCGGAGCCACAGGGAAAGGAAAAACCTCTAAGCAATGAAAGCTCACGTTTTGGAAGCTCCTTTGGAAGGAGGATCCTCTTGCCAAAGGCTTTCCTTGCACTTTTATGCCCCAGTGGACTGGGATGAGGCACCTCAAGTGCACAAAGGCAGAATGGGGTGTTCAATGTCCAGGGCTGTGTTTTATATTTGGCGTTGGTGGCACCAAACCCCAGGCCAGAGACACGCACAGGGCCAGGCTGGTGAGACAGGGCTCACAGGAATTCCCTGTGCGAGGAGGGAATCACCTGGAACAGGTCTTAAAACACTTCCAAGGATAGGCACAGAGGCAGAAATTTCCAGTGAAGCCTAAAAACCCAGGGAGAAGGGGTTCCTTGACAGGCAACAACGCAGCTGAGGTGCTGGGAAGTGGATGGTGGCTCCCCAGAGCTCCCACAGAAATGATTTTCTGAGAGATGTCCACGACATCTGTAAATAAAACCCTCTGCAACACCTCTGCTCAGGCAGCTGGAATCGTGGGTCACCTTGAAGTCTGGGAGACTTTTCTTAGGTTAAATCCCAAGCATTCTGAAGACTGGCATAGAAGTGAAACAGGAGAGCCAAATGAAGTGTACTGGGCTGCCCAAACTCCTCTAAGCCCAAAAATGGTGTTTAAAGCAAAGGATGGGAAGAGAACACCGGGTCCAACAAAGCCTGTGCCTGCTGCAGAAAACTCAAATGAAGATATTTTAAGCTGGGGTGGGTTTTGTCTCTGCTGGACAACTATGGCGTCATTAAAGCACAACAATGTTTGAAAAGTTACCTTCAAGTGCTTTTTGCTGTATTTTTAACTTTGCTAGCGAAACTGCAAACTAGATCTCGACTTTCCACAGAAAGCTTGTGGTGATATTATAAACTTGAGTTTTTCTCCAAATAAGGACCAGAATATGAAAGTTTGCCTCCCAGCAGAGATACCAAGACACAATGCTCAGTTTTGAGGTCCCCAATATTATGCAATGTTTGCTGTAGACATTTCCATTCCATTAGCATATTCTACTTTACATGAGATCCAGCAATGAATGCTGTCCCTGATCTAAGGCTAATCCTCTTTAAAGAGCTACAGGCTATATTACATGTGGCCACAGCCACGGTTATGCCAGGGCTGAATCACTTTGAAGCCTATTGAACAGTGTTCCCTTGTGAGACCATACACAGAGCCATAAACCAATGCTCCCTGTGCTGTGAAATCCTGCTGTTTCCACCACCAGGACTTTCTGGACAGACTGGAGTCCCAGGCAAGGGGCTGCAAACAAGGAAGAGGCACCTGGCTGGCCTCACCACCCCTCAGCACCAATTTATGTGCCCACAGTAAGAAAAATCCTTTTTTTCCTAAACCTCAACAACAGCTTCTCCAAGGGAGGGCTTCCAGAACAATCCAAAGGTGAAGGTGAAGCAGATACCTGCTTACCTGAGCAGGAAGGAAGCTGCTTGAGTAGTCTGGGACACGGCTATATCGATCTGGGAAGGAAAAAGAGAGAAATGGTCATGTAGGTACCTGTAAGGCTGCACTGCTCACAGCTGGGTGCCCTTGAATGCTATAAACTGAGATAATGGAACTGTGTTTTTATTGCCACACACCACGTGTTAGAATCTCCAACACCTTCACATCTACACAGATTGAAAGGGGGAAAATAAAAATACTAAACAACAAAAAGATCACTATAGTCTCTGGTCCTGCTTAGGTATAAGCAAAATACAGCTTGTATTATCTTGAATTGCTCAAAATTACTTTCTTTGTTCAATGAAGGGAAATGGAAAGGTTGGCTCTGCTCAGCCTGCACTGTGCACATGAAATTTTCTCTGTCTGAATGGTATTAAACCAGACAAGGAGAGTGGATTCAGCCTCCACAGTAAAATGTGGGGCCAGGTGAAGGCAAGGTTCAACCTCCTCGCTGTCCAAATAGCCGCACAAATTATTTTTTCCTTTGCAGCAGACGGAGAAAGGGTTAGCAGAAAAAAGAAACAAAAGGTGGAGGGAGCAGCAGAGGGAATAGGAAAAATAATCAGGAGGATGGTGAGAGGGAAGAGCAGCAGAGAGCAGGAGGGGCAGGAAGATGGAAGAGAAACTGAGAAGGAGGAGAAAGGGAGAAGCCAGAGAGGCTCTAAAGGAGGACCAAGGGCAGATGATGATGAAGAATGAAAATGAGAACTTGGAAAGTGGCATAAGCAAATTCCATCTTGTAAGGAATACTTCTCCTCAGCAGTCAAGGTGAGATTCCTCATCAGTTTATCCAGGTCAGATGAGAAGGAAAGAGAAGAGAAAGAGTTCTTTTTCCTGAGTAAACAAGGAGCAAAGGAGGAAATAAACAGAGGGAACTGTGCTGTCTCTTCCTCCTTTGGAAGATCTCCTCTCAGCTTATGGAGTGGAGCTCTTCATGGCACTGGGAGCTAAAACTTCAGTGAGCACACAGTCCTCCCCATGCATCTCTCCTCCCTCTCACACTGACATCCAGTGGAACACAACGGGATATCCCCGGACTGCACCTGTCTTTGAGAAGGGCCCATTTCTTTTCTGCTTGCATACGAGGCCCTGGGCTGCTGCACGGTAGCAACTTGTTGCAGAACCTCCCTACAGGTTGTTGCACACTCCATCGGGCCTTTCCCAACCCTTGGAAGTTATCACTGCCATTATTATCGCTAACTTGCAAGCACCTCGACAACTCTTGCACTAGCAAAATTAAATTTGTGACTTTAAATGAAAAATAAAGATCAAAAGGAAAGAACTCTCCCCCCCACTCCCGCCCCCAACCAACAACTAATAACCACAAAACACAAAAACTCCCCAAAACGAAAGCTGTCTTCCCGTGTCCGGTCACACATTGCCATCTACTGGCTCCCACTCCTGTGCTCTGAGTGCTTGGGTGGCTAGGAACGAGAAAAGGGCTGTGAGCAGTTTACGGCTCCAAATCAATCCTCTCTCACTCGCCTCCTCCTCAGTGACTTGGCAGGTCCCTGAAGGACGGTTTCGAGTCACCCTTGTGCCATCCCGGGAGGACAAGCCTCGGGACAGGGTGGGTACAGCAGCATCGTGCCCGGGCCCACGTGACGGGTGACAAGACACGAGTGAGGCATTCAACACCGGGGAAAGCCAGCAAACAGGGCTCATGTGCCTCGGGAGACACACCTGGGATATGGAGAGGACTAGGGGGGGACAACTACCCACCTACTGCTGCCTTCTCTGGTGGGCTGTCTGAGCTCACCAGGTCACGGCTGTCACCCGTGTGGCTCTGGGTGCATCCTCCCGTGCCCAGAGCCAGCCCTGCAGAAAGGGCAGCACTCCTGCAGATTTCTGCCTCAAAACCAAGCCTCGGTGCACGCAAACCCACTGCGGTGTTTGGCACAAGAGGCGTCACCAGGCCACGGCAGCCGCTTTCACGTTCAGCTGGCGACGCTGCAGACAAGCTGTGCCGGTGAGTGGGAGCGCTGGTGACCAAAAAACCACGGGAATTATACTCACACACAACACCTAGAGGCGTTGTCGCCCTTCAGCCCTGAAGCCACTGGCAAATCCCAGCACCACATGGAGTTTGAATAAGCAGGTGTAAAATCTGACCTTGGGAGGGAAGGGCAGAACAGTGGAAGCCTCAGCACAGCAGAAATCGGGTCAGACTTCCTGTTGATTCAGCAGAGTGGGGATACTTTCACCATGTAAATTTAAGTAGCAGAGACAAGGAGAAAGTTTCAGGCTGGTCTGGACTGCTGCTGGCCTCAAATGTCCACAGAAAGGCTTTTGTGCCATAACAGAGACAGAATTATATAGGACATTTTCCCCAAGTGTCCAAGAAATGTCATCACAGTGTTCCCAACTCATAACCAGTCACACAGGTGATTAAGAGACTGCACTTCTTATAACTCTTCTGACCTACCATGAACATCCCAGAAAGAGAAAGAAACACTTTTCCCCTCACTGACTCCTGCTTCCTAAGCCAGCTGTGACTGACAGCAATATGAAAGTTCCTCGTATTTTTCCATTTCCCAGATTTGCCGACGACAGAGGCTCTGGAGTTACAGCAATCAGCTGTCAGAAAAGCAATGCACCATCACAGCCATGTCAAACCACCTCCAACTTCCAGCCTGAAAAATCCTAAATTAGCCCAAACACCACATTTGTTCCCAGTTTCGCTTTTGACCGAAGAAATTTCAACTAAAAGAAGAAGTTATTGTAATACTGGAATGACCTCTTCTACAGCACAGAACAATTTTAGCAGAATGATCACCCAAGAACCCCACAGGCACAGAGTGCCTGCATTTTACTTTTTTTTTCCTCATAAAGGGCAAACCTGGAGTTGTTTTCCTGAGGCTGGCAGCGTTTCAACTGACTAGAAACTTATTGCAGAGAGAAGCTGTAAATCCAGTTCCTGCCCTCCCCTGTACAAAACCACACGGAGCTATACTTAAATCGTAAAACAATGAAGGAATATGCAGTTAATTTCACGTTACACAATCCTAGGGAAAAAAAATGAAAGGTCCGTACATACCTCAATAGATACAAGTATCAAAATAATCCTAATCAGGAAAGTTGTCTCATGACCTGGGACTCGGGCTGTTTCCGGAAACAAAGGCTGACAGGAATTATAACCACGAACAGATGCAATAAATAGCAGACTTGCGCAATTCTGGCTTTTCCAGAAGGCACAGAAGTATTTTATTTTTCTTGTGTGTGAGCACACAGGCCCAGCCCTGCCTGCTGTAACAAAGGCCTTCATCTGTGGGATAAAGTTGGAATAATCTGTTTTCTTTCCTTGCTTTTCAACACAACTTCTTACAGAATGCAGTTTAATCCCTTTTTTTTTTTATTTTTTATGATGTCAGGGAGAAGAGCCCATGGAACAGCTGTGTTAGATTGCATACAGATAAAAATTATCCCACAAGAACTACAAAGAAACTTATCAGCCCACAAGTCATTTACCTGTTTGTTGAAGATATATAAAGAACCCACCAGTAAAAAGCAGTTTCTATGAACCAACACGGTGTTTCACCGCCCGTGCCAAAGCAATCGAACCCTCGGTACTTACTTCCAAGTCCCAAAGCTGTGGAGGCAAAGGGAAGGGGGGACCCGGAACATCAGGGATCTGGATTCCAAAGGAACAGGTTTGCTTGGCCACTTGTTCTGTGCTGGGGAGTAAATACTGATGAATATGAAAAACCAAGCCGCTGGATAAAGAAGAATCCAGGGCTGTGGCAGGATTTGTAAAGGGAAGAAAAAAAAAAACCCAAACAGAAGTAAGAAAAAGTCTTCAGATCAGTTTAGACCATCGGCCAGGGAAAGATTAGGTTATTTCCCAAAGGCGGTGCAATGTTTGCTTAAAGCAAACAATCAAATATTGTAAAATAATTGGGAGGTAAAACCTAAATTATCTTGTCTGAGAGCTGAGCCCAGGATCTGACTTGTGATCCCTGACACGGCTCTGAACACATGTTCACATAGCCCCGTAAACCCCGGACAGACCTGTGGCTATTCCTTTAGAGTTATTCACTGTAATAAATAATTTAACTCTTTTCTTCTACTTTTCCCCCCCTTATTTTTAAAAACAGTTCTATTTCCGGCCCCGCGATGCCCTCAGCGTCCCCTGCCTCAGCGCCTCCCCTCAGCTCTTCCCGCCTCAGCGCCTCCCCTCAGCGCTTCCCGCCGCCTCCCGCAACAATTACCGGGAGTGAGGAGCCGCAGGAGCCCTCGGCAGGCGCCGGAGCCCCGCTCCCGGCAGGTGAGGAGGCCTGGCCGGGCCGGGCGGACGTGAGGGGAAGGAAGGAAGGAAGGGGACGGGATAGATTAGCGGGCGGACCGGGATGTCGCCCGGCGGGTTCGGCCGGGGGATCCCGGGCTGGCCGTGCTGTGGGGTGGGGAGGCGGCAGGGAGCCTGCTCTGCCCATGTTCTCAGGGCTCCTCCGCGTTGCTCTCCTGCCTCTGGAAGTGGGGATAATGACACTCCATCCCCCGTAGGAGAGGATGAGGTGAGATCACGGTCGCTTTGAGTCCAGTGAAGGCGCGGACAGCAGCAGGGCAGTGGCTGACTCAGAACTGCGGGAGAAATCTACAGAAAGTTTCTTCCCCCTGGCATTGCAGTACAGTCTAGTAAGTAGAAACTCCTTTAGCATTTATGAAGGAATGTTCAGTATGTTGAACCTCGGTGAACCTTTAAGGCAGGACTGGGCAGCCGTGCGGGGAATGCCAGAGGTGATCATGGATCTGAGGCGGGGGCTGTGGGAGCTGCCGAGATCATCCAGGATCACCGGTGGGTGCTGCCGAAGCAATGGGTGAAAATGGGAAAATTCTTTCTTAATTAATGTAGCCATGTGTAAAACTCGCTAATGTGAACTAAAGTCACAAGTGTCTCTGTGGGCTGAACTGCAAACAAAGTGAAAGTGCTCAGCGGTTTTCCCCTTCACCAAAGATAATGTCTTGTAATATCCCCTTACTGGTGCAAAACAAGGAAGGGCAGAGCTAGACACGGGGACTAGCCCTTCCTGGCTCACAGAGCTGCTTCCAGCATCCCAGAGTTGGGGAAGCTACAAGGAGGAGGGATTGATAATGGTGCCACCACAGCTTGTCTCACAGATGGCAAAGGGATAACCTGCTATCAGGGTGTCTGTCTGTATTCCTGCCAAAAAGCACAGATGATGTTCCCTAGCTTGTTTTTAAGTGAGCTCCGCTGGAAATTCTGTGTTTCACTCATCATCTGTGCCGCTGCAGCTTACTTCAGTAACCAAGTAACCTGCTGTGTCAGAAGTGTGGCTGGTTTTGTGTCAGAGGTGGAAAGGAAGCAGTTTCGAGGTCTCACCCAGAAAATGATGCGCTGATACACCACCCTTCGCTATGCTTGGTGTTTGTGTGCAGTGTGTAAAAAAACACAAGTCAACTCCATCATCACAAAACACAATCATCACTTAATTGCAGTGATGATTCAGCTACTCATAAAGCTCTGAATGGAGCTGGTGAGCTCCAGATCCATGTGAGACACGTTGGCAGCTTACTGCAGTCTGGATGTAGAAACATCTGCACCGTGTGATACCAGTTAAATGGCTGCTCACATGTTCCTCTGGTGTGTAACTGGGAACTCATTTGTTGGTTTCTACTTTCAAATAGCAAGGCTTTTCTTTAAAAGACTCAGTTTTAGTGCGGGAAGACACTGGCCTTGCTTTTAGAGAACCAGCTGACAGCCTCTCCTGAGCTGTCTCAGGCTTTATTAGGATGCACTGCAGTCGCTCAGGCTTGGGAGCAGAAATTGTTTCATAAGTATGTGGTCTGTGTGCTGCATGTGAAGAGCTTAAAAAAACAACACGAAACTACCAAACCCAAGAAAAGAAATTTTTTTAGCACTTCTGCAGCAGCAGAGAGCTGGGATTTTCCAACAGACAATGAGGCAATAGCTAGAGGTGGTGACAATTCCTCTTTTAGGTCTCATGGATAGTCCAGCTTTTGCATTCACTTTTTATGCTGTCACAGCGGTCACTTCTAAGCACTTTTTCCGTGCAAGAGGTCAGTTTGGACCCAAGAGCCTAAGGAATGCTTTATACACATTTGAATTACCACTTCCTACAGACAGCGTGCTGGTAAAAGTCATTTGGTACCTTCCAGGCACAGGACACACAGAGAGCAGAGCACACAGGCCCAGCCAGTACCGTTTAACTCCATTTTAAGTCTACCGAGTAACTCTTACTGCTAAAAGACATATTTCTTGCAAAGATAAACCTGCCTGTGAGATCCTCCTGAAGAGCTTGTTGGCAGCAATAGTCAGCTGTGGCTTCTGAGCTCCCACTCCCATGCTTTCATCATATTTACTGTCAGCCAGTCACCTGGAAGGTGCGTGGAGCAGCGCAGGGAGTATTTTAATGCCAGGGTGAAACCCATTTGTTGGTGATTCCGTGCCGTGATTTCCCCCTTTTCTTGTTCTGAGGACTCTTTCCACCATGACCTCTTTCGAGGAAGCCGAAACAGAAGAAACAGTGACGTGCCTCCACCTGACCTTTTACCACCCTGGCCAGGATGAGAAGATGATGTTCCGCTGCCTGAATTTCTGCAAGCGTGAGCAGGTCAGGGCGGACGACGTGGCCAAGTTCGGCCGCGATTCCAGCGTCTGCCGCTACAACCTGATGGACACGCGCGTCTCCCGGATCCAGTTCTCCCTGCAGTTCTACAGGAAGCTCCAGGCCTCGGAATATGGTTTTGAGATAAAGAACTTGAGCAAGAAAACAAAACTGACCGTCAACCAAACAGAACTGGGTTACTTAAACAAAATCGACCTGCCCTGGAAGTGCATCATCTCTTTTGGGGACTACCAGATCCTAGCAGAGATTCAAGAAGGGGAGGCCATGGATTATTTTGAGACCCACTTACACTTGGCTGAAGCACCGATCCTACAAGAAAGGTGCCTGCCATGCCTGCCATCCCTGCAACCTATACCCGAGAACGGCGTTTCTCCTTCCTATTTTCTTTCCCAAGGCAAAAGCCCCACAGAGATGGATGAAAATGAGCTGTGACAGCGGGGAGAAGGAGGCTGCCTCAGGTTCTGCGGCCTGCACAGCTTCCAGCGTGGACAGCTCTCACCTCAGCCCGCTGTTCTTGGTGCTGCTCACTGACTGCTGCACATCAGTCTTCATGGTGTTTTCAGCACAGGCATTCCAGAGCACTGTTCCACAGAAATGGATCCTTGCCTTCACTGAGGCCTGAGGGCTGTCTGATGCCCTGTGGGAGACAGGGGGGGTCACTCAAATCCGTGGCAGCAGGTTCAATGCCAGAAGTGTGGCCACGTGCCTCGAAGGGATCTTTCACAGGCATTAAAACAGAGCTTCGGTCCCAGCCAAGGGGTGACGCAATGTTTTGTTGCATGTCATAGTTTCTGCTTTGCTGTGGACACCAAACTCCAAAAACAGTATTTGCAAGCCTAGGTTGTAACTTGACAGATTTTGCAACTTAGAAACACTTTGTCCTTTTATGTTTTCATAAGCTTCAAAGCAAGGTGGGTTTTTTTTTATTTTTACTTACTGGACATATATATATATATATATGTATATATTTTTTGCAAGTTAACTTGATACTTTTGCTTGTGATGTAGACAAACATGTAGCATCAATGATCATGGTCTATAAAAATTAATTTTGTAATAAAAGCATTTTGTTCCCTAGTAAGGATTTGCTCTATTACACAGCTGCAGTCTAAAAGAATTTTTGGAGAATAAAATGATTTCCAGGACCATCCAGGTAAGAGGTTCACTGTCACTATTCCAAAAATGCCATTTCTCCAAGGTCAGAATTTACTTAAATACTTTCAGGAAGTTTTCTACCTCTATCCTCTATCCAAATCTCTCTAATAATTTTCTTGTCTTGTAAGTATTTGTCAGGTTATTTCAGTCAAGTTTTTCTTTGTCAGGGGCTCAGCTTTTCATTGGCATTTGGCTTTTTTTTAATTTTGTCAAGTACATTGGTTCTCTTGAAAGACACACTGGGGAGGAGTTCCCCATTTTATCATCCTTAAATATTAGGATGCATTTCAGCATTAATCATTCCAAGAAAACCATAATTATAACTGAGGGGAGGGACAGCTGAGATTCAGGCAACCAACCACGAGCGAGGGAAAGCCATGGGAGGGGCAATGAAACTCAGAGACAGTCTTATGTAGGATTTGTCTGTCCATCTCGTCATGTTGCTGTGTTTTCCACCCCTGGAACCAACCAGGCTGTGGTTTCCAAACAACAATCCCTTGCACAGCTGCATCTGCCTGAGGTAAAGGCCAGCCATGTAAAACACACATTAAAAAATGAACTGTCTGCTATCACTACATTGATCCACCCAGCAGAAGCGAATTTACACCAGGAAGGTTATTTCACCTTGGAAGTGGGAGGGTGCAGCTGCTCATTTCCAACAGGAGAAGGGCTCCATGCTCCAAATTCCTCAGGTCTTCTGTTACTGCAGCTTGTTTAGAGCTTCCCTTCCAAAGCAACAGGTCCCCAAAAGGGACACTGTGGGATTCAGCAGGGCTCTGACGCGGCCACCGCAACAACCCAGCGACAGATACACCACTGCCAAATGTAAGACTTGCTGAAAATTTTAATGACTTTTAAATTTTGTACAGATATGCATTTTACAGTACCCTTGAATTGTTTCACATGAGCTGCTTATAGAATCTCTCAGTTTCTGAAACATCCACAAATACGGAGCATCGCTTCAGAGTCACTCAGCGTGGCGCGCTGAGCGCCGCACGGGTTATCGCGAACCGTGGCTACTGAACATGCCCATCACTGAAAAAGCTGGAGTCAGCCTCCTTTTTCCTAGGTGCTTGTTCATCCTGAGGGCAGGACTGTCAGCTAATTGACTTCCTCAAGGCATGGTCAGGACAAGGCCACCTCATGTTCACTGGCCAGGAAAAGCAGTGACCGCTGCAGGGGAGGTGGCAGTTTCGGCAGGTAAAAAACATGTTATGTACATGTTGAGGAAGTTGCCTTCCTTCCCATAGGAATATATTGTACAAAGGAAGGTCCAGGAGAAGTCACACAGCAGTAGCTTAGGCCAAACCCAAAATATACATTTGATGTGTACAGATATTTAAAGCTCATTACAAGTATTGCAAATATAAATAATGGCATGAAGATATTTCCAGTGACATAGCTACAACTGAAAGGAAGAGATGGAATGTCACCAACAGGATTTATCTGTTCTCTCAGGTTATTTGTACATATTTCATCCCAGTGTGCAGTATTTTTGTTCCTTATCCACGCTGTAATGACCCAAATATTCCAAACAGTTTCAGATAATCTCAACCAGTGACACAACTTTCACCAACAAATTCAGATGATGACAGCGCAGGGTCATTTCTTATCACAACCTGTTCCTTTTACTCCAAAACAAAGTTAAACCCTGTCACCCTTTTTTTTCCATGGAAAAACGAGACAGCTACACAAAATAATGGCAGAGCAGAATGGCTTTGCTTTGAAACTTTGGGGAAAGCTTGAGATCTGCAAGTATTCTGCAGGTTCTCTTATTAAAAAGTAAGATTTACATGGAATACTGGAGGAGACCGCACAGCACAGGACACCAGCAGTGCAGTCACTGAACACCTCCATGGATTTCATGGATTAACCACCCACTTCAGAGGCACAGGAAAGGCAGAGCACTTCAACACACTGTTAAAACACGAATTTTTCTTCTTCCTTTTCAAAATGCAGATACAGAAATTCAGTCTTTAGGTTCTTGTTCTTCCCACCCCAGCAGCAGCAGCATCATCCCTACCCCAGCTGGCTCACTGAGTGTTGCTTTTCCATAACTGTTCTGGTCCATTGGAATTATCACTTTTCCACAACTGAGGAATTTTTAGGACTGTGTAGCAACACATGTTGGTCTGTCCAGGGAAAACAAGACTTTGGTCCTCCCAGTTCTCGACTGGTTAAAATTCCCTCTTTATTGACACGTAGAGAATTTGTATTTTATTTTATTTTTGTTTCTCTATCTAGCACGCACTTACTAAGCCTGGCATGTTATACAAGACAATATCTTACCGAACCTGATGAGTTTTACTATGTTCATTGAGGTTAACCGTGCTTGGCATAAAGCAATTAAAAAAATAAAGTGAAGGGAAAAAGGACAACACAAGACTAGGAAGACTTAAAGCTAAACAGGGGAAAATCTGCAATTTGCCACGTGTCAAATCCATTTTGCAGCTCTTACTTTTGCACCCTCTAAGCAGCTGAAGAGCGAGTCAAAAAGCACAGACCAGAAGTAAAAATATTTTAAAATTGTTTCTCTATCTTCAAGTATTAAATAAATTATACGAGACTTATTCTGAGATAAATATTAGGCCAATGATCAATTTCAAAACAAAATCAATAGAAACATCACCAAAAAAAAAAAAAAAAAAAAAAAAGGCAAGTTAAAATATAGATAAGTCAAGCTACAAAGCTTCAATTAGTGCAGATCATTTTATATTAAATCCAGATATCCAGAAATATACACAATAGAATCATCCCAGTTTTCACAAAAGTGGAGAAGGTAGATGATAAAATTGCACTTAGTTCTGAATTCCTTCAGACGGCGAGTCCTTGCCGTTCCTGGCCGGGCCGCGCGCAAGAAGAAGGGAAGCGGGTTACAAAAGAGCAGATTGGCTTTGTACATTCCATTTCCCTTTCCAGCATTTGGTCACAGGCAGGGGCCGTGCAGACATGGTCACTATCTGTCCTGGCGCTCGGAATCTGACAGCCTGACATCCGAGGCCGACAGTTCCAGCACGGGGTTGACGAAGCCGGCGTACTCGGAGTTGCCGTTGTCGTCCATCTCGGCGCTGACAAAGTCATTCTCCCACTCCAGCCCGTTGGAATCGTCGGAGGCTGAGGCTGGGTGGCTTCCTGCCTTCCTGCTGTTGAATTTCAGCGCTGCCCGCAGGATGTCCTCCTCCGTCTTGGAGCGTTCCCTCACCGGAATCATCCTGTTCATGCCTGGCATGTGAGACACGCGCGTGAGAAACACATCCTTGTGAGTGCTCAGCTAACTTTTATGTTTCTGCTAGGAGAAACAAAGGTGAAATTTGGACAGGTACCGGGGTTCAATGGTCTGGGAAAGGTCTTGGGTTTGTATGGGAAAGGGATATTTAATTCCACACAAAATAATACAAAATACGGTTCTGGAAACTGCTCAAAGACATCCAGACGTTCTTGAGGTGAAATAAAAAAAAATCACCTAGAAATTGGCTAAAAGAAACAAACCCTTGCTAATTTTTGGTGAGCCTTTCAATAGTGGGGGTGTCAACACTTTGGATAAACTTTCAACTAAGAGCTTTTGCAGGGTTAGTAAATAAAAGAGTAAGTAACAATGAGGAAATACAGGAAGCACCTGTAACAGCAGCAATAAGGATAAGCTGGGATACCCCTTGGAATGCAGACCTTAGTCCCCAGTGAATGTTGCAGTACAAGTAATAAGGGTTTTTCCCAAAATATTTAAGTCAGACTCCTGACTTAAATATGTTCTACCACATTTTAAAAGGAAGAACAAAACAAGCTCTTCCTTCTGCTCCTAGCTCACGAGAGGGCAGTATTTCTTTACCGTCACTTTTGTCAGGAGTTTACAGGTCAGTTCCACAAAAGGCAGGGAAACTAATTCATTTATTTACTGGAGAATGCAAATAAATTAATTCATTTATTAGTGCTATCTCCACATTTATCAAAATAAGGAATTTTCTCAGTAGAAATAATTTTACAGTTTAACCATTACAAGCTTGTCAGAAATTGCATCAGAATCAAGTTTTAAATCACCTTGCCTTTTGAAAACAACAAATTTACAATGAACATAGCTCAAACTGTCAACATCTTTAACTTTTGAGTTCAGGATGAAGCTGAAATGCAGGATAAATACCTTCTTCATCTTCCCACTCTAAATCCAGGGAGGTGCTGTCATCGTTCCCACTCACTGATTTGGTTTTGGTCATCAAGTCACAGCTGCTCTCGGTGTTGGGTGTCAGCACCGTGGCATCAGATGAAAGTCCTGTTTAAAAAAAAAAACAAAACAACCCATGATGTACTTTTAATTAGTAAATGTACTTGAATTTCAAGTTCAACATGCAAAAGTAAAATTCTGAATTAAGCTTTCATTGTGCTTTGTGGCCCTTTAAACCTCAGGAATGCTGGAAAAGGCAATCAAGTTCAAAGAGTAACCAGTAGCTTATTAGTAGTCACTGAGATATTGCCTAATTAGAACCAGAAAGGAATTTAATAAGCTTTAAGCTGAGTTTGTATGAAGACTTATTAAAGAAAAAAACAACCCAAATCAACCCTCTCCTCCCCAGAAAACTGAACTACTCACAGTATTTCCTGAAACACAGCCATCAGTCCTCCACCTTAGTGGTTATCGTGTACTGTCACCAAAACTTACAGATAAAAGCTTACCAAATAGTTTTCCTCAAAACTTAGTGGAATTTTTAAGTACAGGCAGCCAAACTCCCCCTTGGAACTTCATTAGGGGAAAATTAGGCATTAATGTGATTCTAATTACTTTGCCAAGGGATGATTAAAAAAAGCTGCAAACACACATCTGCATCTCCAGCACAGGGTCTGGTTTCACAAGAAATGTCCACCACTATCTTTTATTTGTCAGCTAAAAAAAAATGACCAGATCTTTTAATTCCACACATAAAACTATAAACAATCTGTGTTTATCTAGAAAAACTCTGTGCCCCTCAGACTCCTTTAACACTCAAAGATGTGCTTGAGGAAAAGCAGACTTACTACTGCTTCGGAAAGCTTCATACTGGAATTTTGTATTCCTTAGGAAAGGATCGAGATCTTCCTCTGCCACGGAGCTGCAAGAACAATGTGCAGGTTTTTAGCTTTAAAAACCTCCAAGGGTGCCACCAAAAATGTGTTAATCCACATTCCCCCAGCCCTGTGCTACAAAGCACATACACCTCCAACTAAATTCTTTATAAAACCATCTGCAAAATACTCTTCTGTTCCTATTCATCATATCCTCTCCCAGTCTGTGCTTCTGCTCAATTTTTATTAGCATTTCCAGTTAAAAAAAAGTAATTAACAAACTCAATCTTTATCACTTTAGACAAAATCTTAATTTTCAATTCATTTTTAAAAAAAATTAATTCAAACCCTGCTCCTGCACTCCTGAAATCTGGACAGTTCCTACTCAGTTTTCACAGCTCCTATTCTAATTGTGCTTCCATAGCAAAATTCCTCCTGTCCCCCATGTCTTCCATGCATGAGCTTTTTTCCCTCCACATTTTTTTTTTTAAAAGTTTGTTTTTCCCAGCACCACCACCACTGAACACAGAAGGCAGGAATGAAGAGACTTAAACTGTAAATAAATACAGTTATAAATTTTATTAAAATATTTAATAAATAAATATAATTAAGAATTCTAATAAAGAAACAGACAGATTCTATGAACCATTTAAGCAGCATATTTCTACTGGGTTTCTCAAACAGGGTCCTGAATAATAAAAATACTTTTATGTCACCTTTTTAAAAGAAACCACTGGATTTGGTGTGGGTGTAAATATCTGTTAGTGGCTGGGTGCAGCAGTCTAAGAACTCCAGTGACAACCAGAGTGAATCCAAAATACCCCCTAACTTTCCAGGTGAGGAAGAGGAGTACAAACAGCCAGGACTCTCAGTTATCATGGATGAAATTTGGTCTCTTACCTCTGGAACTCTCCATTATTAACAGGGTGTGCTCTCTGCGTTATCCTGTGCTGCCTACGTTGCTAACGAGAAAAGCGAATCGTTGAAAAAGCTGAATACTCAGAACAGAGCTCTCAACACTTAATCCTATTTTATGCAACACCCCCCCCCCCAAAAAAAAAAAACACCCATCACTTTTTGGAAACGTGGACACCACCTCAGTCGTGACTGCACCTGTCTTGTCTCCTGCCTCCTTAAAGAATTCTCAGTGCACAACTAACTCGCGGGTGATGTTTGATTTCTTTTGCTCCGTGCCCAGGAACAGCCACCCTGCCATTTAAAAGATAAATATTTCCTACAAATCCTTTTATCCCTGTGCAGAGCAGTCCTGCCATCTCCTCTGGCTGTCTCCATCAGCACTAAGTGCTTCATCTATATTAATAACAGCTTTGCTGCCTTGCAGGGCCAAAAGTATTAATAACTCTGCTAATGTCAACTTCACCTGAGAATTGCTCTTTGCTTTGGGTGTGGGGAGGTAACTGCACTGGATCTAGTGTTTTTTCAGTCCCAGGATGATAGTGGGTTTGTTTCCTGGCACACTTTGCATCTTGGATATTTAAACAATAATAATTGCAGGTTGAAATGAGTAAATGGGGAGTGCAGAGAAAAAAGCAGAAGTAGAAATATCACGTTGTGGTGGTTAGAGGTGAAAAGACTTAGGAAGGCAGAGAGGAACAGACAGAAATTTGGCACAACACAGTCAACAAATCTGTCAAAATCAATTACTGACACATGCAACGATTTTCTTTTAGGATTGCTATACCCACATAACACCCAATTTAGATCATCTCTCCATTTTGCCAGGTCACATCCCAATATCCAGCACTGCCAGTTCCAGGACACACACGTATAAAAATTCCCCGCTGTTACAGACCCTGACATTTAGTAGGGCACCATCAGCAAGCCAAATGAGCTTTGAAAGAGGCCACACTTCCAAGGAAAAAGCCATTTTCCCATTTGTGCCCGCAAACAGCAGAAAGATGAGTGGTGCATTCAAAAATAGCTTCCAGTTTATCTAGAAGGGCTAAGTGCTTGATGCATATCTGGACAAAAAATTCTTCCTAAAAGTCCTTATAATCTTTATGGGTTTTGAGGAGGGTGTTTGAGCAGGAGATAAGTGGTACTAATTTTACACGAAGAGGAAATTAAACTCTCTATAATCCATTCTATCTTAGGCCCTGACTAAAAGAAGTGCTTATTAAAGATACTGAAAGACAAGAAGTACAGCATTTCTTGTGCAGAACTTCTACAAAAACCAGTTAACGCCATTAAAAAAAAAAAAAATCCAAAAAAAAAAATCCACTTTTGCTGGCTTTCTATAGATCAGAAGTGGTAAGGAAAAAAAGCAGGCAAAAAGGTCAGAAAGAATTAACCCTCCCACACCAAATGGCAAGGGGAGAGAAAGAAATGTGAAATGAGAGCTGTGCTTAGTGACATGAAAATGAGATGAAAAAACTCCAAAGCGGGGTCAACACGAAACACGAAGAGAAGGAACAAACACGGTGCACAAATACATCAAGTACATTTTACGAGTCTAAATGATGTCACAACCTGTGACATTAATTTCAGGGGTTTTTTTGGGTTTTTTTTACCCAAAACCCATCACAGATCGTTTCACATTCAAGATCAGCAACTTCTACATGTTATATAAGAAGAGTGTTAAGCTAATTATGGATTAAAATTATAGCTCGTTCAAAATCTGCACTCGGCAACAGAAGCCGTTTGAAACAATTATGGTGATTTTCAGCTGTTCCAACCAGCTGTACTTTCAAATCTTGTACTTCTTTCTCTACAAGCCCAAGCCCATCTCCTTGTCAGGTCTCCTGAGATGGGAAGGATATCAGGGAAGTCTGCACACATGGGAACAGGACAGAGGCTCTCATATATATTGGGGTCTTTTTCCCCTCACCTCCAAGAGCTTTTTCTGCTTTGCTGCCCTGGCTGCTTCACGCTGTGCAGCATATAAAGCCTCCTCTTCTAGTCTTAACTTCTCCTCTTGTAAGGCTAACTGTATATGAACAAAACAGTAATGGTTAACAAAAGCAGAACCTATCTATCTTCCTATTAATAAAGCTGTAAGTGCAAGGAAACAAAAGAAAAGCAGCTAGAAAATCAAAATAAAACAAAACCGACTACAGCTAAAGCATTAACTGAATTTAACAGCTTCCCTCCCCGCAACCAAACAGCCCGAGAAATTTAGGTAACTACTGAACAAACACTTATTTTTAGCCAATTGCTCTAATGCTCTCTCTGTTTTATTATGAACTGCACAGTGAAAGGTTTAAAGGTTTTTCAGTTCCATAGTTCACTGGCACTTTAGATGAAAGTCCATTCAATTTCACACGTGTTGTGTTCCACATCCTATTCCATCAGCTGCTGCAACACTAAAACAGAATAACAAATTATGTGGGGGGTTTTTTTTCTGTAAGAAAGTTGTGGAGAAAATTCAGTGCAAGAAAAATTGAGTAGAGAATATCCCCCATTTGGTCTTGGACTAAAAAAAGGGTCAAATTTAAGAGGTCCTGGTCAGAGACCCATCCTATTTATTCAGTTTTTCAGCTAGGAGGCTATTAAAAAGAAGGAATTTGTGCATCCTGTAGACTTAAAAACATTAACTGATGAACAAAACCCAACTGTTCCATGTGAGTGGAATCTCCTGGTGTCCATGGCTGATCCCAACATTTTTGGAAGGAAAGCTATTTATACTGTCACTGCAACCACTTACCTCTGACTGAAGCTTCAGATCAACAACCCTCTGCTTCTCAGCGATGGAGTCGTAGTGTCTGTCTTTCAGGTCTGCAATTTCTTCCTCAGTCAGAGGCCTGGATGCACGGGAGAAAGACAAAAAAAAAAGCTCCATCTATTATTCATGCATGACAGCTCTCATCTGCACTTGAACATATCTGTGTGGTCCTTCCTGACTGCTCCCTTAATGCAGATCCAACAGGCTGTGCTTGTGGCTTGTTCCTCCTGAAAGTTCCAGTTTATTCAGGACAATGCTGTCTCTCCTCACTCTCACAATGTGGATTATTTATATCTTTGTAGAAAGCTTATTTTGAAAACCATCTCTGCTAACAGAACTACTGGAACAGAACCATTACCGTCATTAAGGTCCAGATCTCGCTATTTATTTTTTTTCCTGAGTTGTTTTTTGTCCCTTGTTTTTCCCTTACTCCGTGTGGTTCAATATTCACAGTGGAACAGCAGAGGGAAGGAGAGGTCCTCGGTCTCAAAGTCTTACCTGTGGCTGCTTCCTGGGCTTTCCCCCTGTTAAAATAAATAAAAAGGAAAGGTCAGATTTTTCTAAAGACAGAGCACTTCCGAAACTTCCCTTAGCAAAGCAAGCCAGGTCCAATTCTGTTCTCAGACTGAGGGCACTTGCTGAGTTCTAATGCAAGAGTTATACCGGGAGCAAATTCTCCTTTAAGTCCTCCCAAACACACTTTTCCTCCACACCTTTTCTTTCTTCCCTTCCTTAAGGGGTTATTTCCCATACTCCCCAAAACCAATCTCTGAGATCTTTATCCAAAGTCCTAAATTCGTATTCCTAGCGCAAGGAAAACTGAAAGTAAAAAAAGAAAACAAAAAACCCGTGATTTAAGTCTACAACTCAGCTTCAAGGGGGAGGAAGATGGAGATGTTGGAAGCATTTTTAAGGATTGCACGAGCAGGTTTCACATGATGCCCCAGGTACTCACCTCATCGCTTTCCACCAGGTTCTCAAACTGCAGAGAAGAAGAAAGAAATAATCTTTACAATGCAATATAATGAACCACTGCAGACAGACAGCAAGCATGACTGCCTATTTTATGTGTCTTGTAAAAATCTATGCCAATTCTAACAATGGGACTGTAACAATATTTATGAAAGCCCCTACTTTCAGAGGAATTTCACTTTTAGGGTTGGACCTTTCTTCTTACCAATGTTTCTTGTCTTAAAACGTTACATTCTCCTAAAAGGAGAAGAGTCAGAATTAAAAAAAAAACAAGCATTCTAAACTGCACAAACTCATCCAGCAGAAGTTCAACTGCCACATTGGAAAGAAAAGAAAAAAAAGAGAAAAAAAAAAGAGATTCCTGATTGACCTAATAATTTGGGAGGAGAACAATACCTCCTTTTCCCTGCCATATGTCTGTGGCAGGAACACCCTCTCACCGTGGGAAGTTCTGCACCAAAACAGATCTCCCCCTCTGTACACATCCTGACCCCTTTCTCGACAGCATTGACAACAATAATTAATGTTCTCCTCATTAACGGGGGCAATCAGGCTGCTCTAGGACTTGCAGAGCACAGGAACACTCAGGGAAAGTAAAGCAGGTTATTCCTGGTTAACCTTACACTACCCTTGGCAAAAAGGGAGCCTGGGAAAGGATCTCTGTGGCGATCAAAGTAGACCACAAATGCAATAAACTCTCAGGTAACCCCAGCATCAATGTGGGCTGGAATATCCCAGAATATTTCAGTGTTCATAAACTGTAAAAAGTGTTAAAGGCATTGCTAGGATTCAGCTTTCCCCACTTTTTCATAAATGGCTAAAAATACAAGTACTCACCTCTATGGTGAAGTGTTCTCCTGTTGAACATGTTCTAAAATACTTGGATCTGGAAAAACAAGCTTACAGTTAGACTACAGAAGACTCTTCAATACACAGCAGAAGGTTAATGAGCCCGAGGATTTAAAATAGATTTAAAAACATGTTAAATGTAAAATAACAACAAAATCTTCATGTATTTAACACATTAACTGGAGCTCTGCATCGCTACTACAGCAGTGAGAGGCAGTAGCACGTAAACATCTTCTGTAGAATTGGGGGAAAAAACTAAAACCCTTGTGTGATGAAATCATCTGTCAGGATGCTGGACTTGACATTTAGAGACTATTAGCATGTTCTGCAATCCCTTTAATACATCTTTCCTGGAAAAAAAACCCATTGTTCCAGGCAATTTCTGAAAATGCTGTTGCTCACCATGGCACTTAACTCTTTCTTGGCAGCTTCTACCTCATCAGTGTTAAACAATGTATTTTATATATTAACAGCTTGGCACATCCAGAAGGGTGAGCCTCAGAGCAAAACATCCAAAAAGAGGTCAAGGCAATACTTTAAAACAACAAAAAAAAATTATAAAATTTTTATGCTCTAATTTTATACAGGGAATTGGTTTCTTACTTGATTCCTTATTCAGAATTCTTCCTATTTTATTTTAATTCTTTTACAGAGGACAGTTAGCCCTGTCCTCTGCAAAACCCAACACAGTATTAAGTTACCTGGATACATTTTTACCTAGCCAAGGAGGTTTGGCCACCGTCCAGAAGAACATTCTAACGTAAACACTCCTGAGTACAACATCCATTTCATCGAACTGTTTCCAAAACCAGAGTTTCCAGTTGCAAGTGCTGACTGGTACAAGGAATAAACCCAAGGCCTCAGGGATTTTTCTATACTTGCAGGAAAGACAATTCAGCTCTCTCAACCAACACCTACTCTGACAACAATAAAAGCAGCACACCAGCCAAAGCCTGAATTATTTCAACCGTATCGTATTTCATCTCCATCTAATTTTTCTCTGGAAGCCAGTTTGGGGAACATCTCCCCTGGCAACTTGTTGCACAACCTTTCCTGCCACCAAAGAACCTTTCCCAGAGAATTCACCGCTGTGAAACCAGGGAGGAAAGGCCACCTGAAACACGTGACAAGGGTAATTGGGACACGCGGTACGGACACTTGGAGCAATTTCACTGCTACCCTTCTCTGTAATTTGGTGTGTAGGAGCCAATACCATTAAGAATCCCATTTAAAAACCGTAAGAGGAAATTGTTCTAGGCTGTTAACAAACGTGTAATTCCAGTTTGCAGGCTTTAGGTAAATTACTTCCAACTTCCCAGACACTTGAGCAGCTTAGTTGCAAGAACTGAAAAGTGAACTAAACGCAGTGCGAGCTCCCTAAGTGTAATCACACACAGCCCAAAAGCAATGCCAGCTCTCTAGGAAGAGACTAGAGAGTCCCAAAAACCTAATTCTGTGCCAGAGCTTGAGCCCATAAATCCCAGAACTACATAAGCTTGAGGTCATTAGTACACAAACAGAAGACCCATCAGCTTCACCCCTATACAAAACTTCAAATGAAGTATCAGCAACCTTGGAAAATGTTTACACCTCTTACAGTTCTCCTTTAAGCTCTACTTTTCCATTATTTTCTAAGACTTGAGGATCTTTTGGTTGGATAGCTCCTGGAGAAAACAATTCAGCTGATAGGTCACAGGACCTATAGTGACAGTCAGATTAATCTTCCAAGATCTGAAGCTATTAAGGAGACTAACTTTTCATACATATATATATATATACATACTCCATCCATATATATATATATATTTATATATTTATATATAAAGCACAGTTCCAAGCAAAGGCAGCTTAAAGTCTTGCAGGATATTAAAACACTTCCCAAAAACACTATACTACTTAGTTGTTTAATGAGGGGTTTATTTCTTACAGGCAAATCTTGGAACATCGAAAAATAATGAAGCTGGGGTGAGGATCTGCGTGATTAAAATCATGATTAAGTTGATAAGCACCTTTTTTTACATGATGGTGATCCAGAAATAGCCAAATGTGGACAATGTGGTATCGATCTAACCTAAAAACTTTATAATACGACACATTTTACAGTTTTGGTTTTAAGGCAATTCCCAGTGGAAGTGGGAGGAGAAGAACCTCAACACTCGGACACCGCTCCATAAACTACCGCCGCAGCCGGAAAACAAATCTGATCTGAAACAACAGGCCAGCAGCTCTCTGTAAAAAAGAACCTTTCGAGTATTTCCTGCTGCTCTCAAAGCACGACACACCGATACTTCAGCACCAGCTGTCAAGGCACTGGAGGTGTTCTCATCTGCTCAGAATACAGGCAGGTATCCTCTACACGCACTGCCCTGGTTTTTCACCCGTGTCTTGTCTGCAAGGCCCTTCAGAAGGTGAGGCTCGCCTGCCAGAGCTGATGGCAAGTAAGAGGCCACGAGCTTGCATCATGTAAAACGCTCAGCGCATCTGCTGAGAACGATTTCCACCCTTATGCATCAAAACTGAGCGATGCCTGGGTAAGCAGCGCTGGTCAGGATATGGAAAAGCCCCCGAGCATTTCCTGCTTGCACAGTGCGGTTCCCATGAACTGGTTGTGGCACATCGAAACAGGTTGTTACACGTTTCCAAGAGATAAGAATTCCTCTGAAGCATTCTGCAACAGATATGAGTTCATCCGAACCATTCTGCTCCTGATTTATCCCAACAGCGTCTCAGCCTCTGACTCACAGGGAAGACGAGATCACATTGCAGAAAACCGGGTGTTTTTCCATCTTTTTTTTTTTGCACAAGCACGGCCGCCTGCACAGGTTTTGCCAACTGACCCGAAAAACCCCTCTAAGCATCTCCTGCCGGAAAAACACCGGCGCTGGCCGGGGTAAGGAGCCGCTGACCCTGGAAGTGCATTAACCCCGAGCGCACAAACCTCAGGGAGCCCGGCGCCTCCATCCCCCCCGGGATGCTGCGGCTCCCGAAGGGAAGGGGCCAGGGCCCCGGGGTGCCCGCATCCCCCTCCCCACCCCA